CCGGCATGCTGCTGGTGCTCCTCAAACTCAAACACAGACTCTGTCTCAACCTTAGTCTCCACCTCAGAATCGGTTGGCTCTGCATTGGTAATGTTGCGAGCAGATTGTGCTCATTATCTCAGGGTACGTCAGCTGAAGAGACTTTTGATAAAGGCTAGCACCAGTTGCAACAACAGCAACAGCAACAACGGATTCGCAACCGCAATTTCCGCGCCCCCTTGACATATGTAAACCTAATTCCAAATCTACCAACATACACACATAGACTACAGTTGCATGTTGTTGCTACATTTATAAGTACATCTCCTCATCCCGTTCCTCCTTCCCTGTTTTTTTTTTCTTTTTTTGCAAGCGCAACCGCAACTTGTTCGCCTGAATGCATTAGAATCGTTTTCATATCGAGTCTGGGGTTCGTTGCAGCCACCAAATCGCCTGGGTTCTCGAGGATTTATGGAATAATGGTCGCAAAATATGTTTTTTATAATTCTTTGTGTTTTTTTTATATTTTTTCTTTTCTTTTTTTTATTTCTTTACGGTTATGTATATATCCGCAAAGGGAGAAATATGAACAAAAGTGACGCGGCACATTGTGCGCGGTTTTACTATTGTTGTCTGAGCGATTCGTGGACTACCGGCTATTCATCAAATGTTGCACTGAGACACTGGGCAGCAAGTAGTGCAGCACTGTCGAGGGCTAATCTTCAACATATATAGGGGATAAGCATTTCAAAGAATTCGAATCGTTTTTTTATGCGATGTGAAAAATTGTCAGCGGAGGCAGCCCATCTGCAGAACATAATTCAATGTCTTTTCGATATGCTAACAGTATCACTTATAAAAAGAAATTAACTGAGAGGAGGCACAGATCCCGCTAAAATTAAAATGGTTGTTTAAAGTGCTCTAATTTGAGCACAATTGCTGTTATCTCCCAATTGGAGCACAACTGACTATTTGCGTTGATCATTTTGACCCAGCATTATCTGTCCTAGTCTAAAACTTTAATGTTAGACAACGCATAAGCAAATCAAAATATTAAAAATTCTATTCATTCTAGCAAATATATCCGAATAATAAGCTCTAATAAAAGAGCTTGAAAGTTACACGATCTATAACTCAACTAAGAAATATATAAATCACATAAAAAATCGACGTTCTCCTTGCGCTGTGTAAGTTGCTGACAAGCAACTGTCACCACCTATGTATACTACCAAAGCTCCATGGTAGTAAAGGCGCATCTTTGGCCTGGGCTGCCATTTGCACACAAATAGGCCGCCCCCACCAAAACTGGCAGTAAAACAAGCTGGCAGGGCAACAAAACGTCAACGGCCAGACACGAAAACATTGGCCACAAAGGGTATTTTGTTGGGGCTTTGCTTATAAATCAGTTGCGCGTCTTTTAATAAATTGTAATTGAGTCGCGCTTCGCCATTCGCGACTGAGCAGCTCATAGATACATTTGTATCTGCTGCTTGTTGCTGCTTGTTGTTGCTGTTGTTACTGTTGTTGTTGCTGTTGTTGTTGCTCTTGCTTAGGCGACTGCGATTGCGATCGCGTGTGGGAATGCAGACAAGGTGATGTCGATCCTTATGGCTTAGCGGCGACCCTAAACAATCCTTTTATTGTTGCTGTTGTGTTTATTGTAGTTGTTGTTGCTGTTGTTGTTGCTGTTGTTGTTACTGTTGCTGTTGTTGTTGCTGTTGTTGTTGTATACTTGGTGCTGTGCCGGCTGTCGCCACTTATGGCGCTCTGAGCATCTCCGCTTGCAGCTCGCCTGCATGGCATGCTTGAAAATCACGTAATGAAAAATGTTTTGAGTGCAATTTTTCTTTTCATTTGCTTCGTGCTACTTCTCCTCCTGCTGTTGCAGCTTGTGCTGCCTGTGCTGCCTGTGATGCCTGTGCTGCTGCTGCTGCTGCCGCTGCTGTTGTTGTTTGTGTGTTGAGCAGCAATAAAACTCATTGAACATGAGTTGCTTTTGAGCAACATGAACAATTAATGCAACATATGTTTGCCGGAGACCGCACCGCACCGTGCTGCAACAACAACAACAACAACAACTAAATACACATCTTTCGATCCTTTTGGTAGTCAATGCTGCATTGAAATCGAATTAGTTGGCAACGCGACTCCGCACTCTTTGCCAAATGTTGCACAACACGCAAACGAAAAACAGAATTCGAAAGACTTTTTCAAAGTGCAACTCAATGAAGTTTTCATGCCCTTATTTAATTGTATTAAATGCCACATACAAATCAACTAAACTTTAAACAATAATAACATTTTAATAGCTTGCACAACTTATAACAAAAGTCAACTCTAACTGATCTTTGCGAGATATGAATTCATATAGATATCTCCTTATTAGCTTGATAAGGCTGATGATCAGTCGATCAGTCCTTGCTGCAATAGGTATACGAAATTTATTTCACAACGCTGATCAAGCAACACGCCCCTCACCACAACCACACAGATCTCGGACAGTCGTTAAGTTAGATGCACCTACTAGCCCCAGATCAATTGCACTGATACGAATTAGCCGAATCGGAAGCGGGGTGCAGAGATAGATAGCCGTAGAATGCAACCGCAGATTCTTGTAAAAAATTGCACTTTTAATTGTGTCTAGGCGATGCCAAACCAACATTGGATTGTTTCTTTTTAATTGACTTCGGTTTGCGCGTATTTGTTTTCGGCTGAACTTTGTAAGTCGAGTGCTTTATAACATTTTTCTGCATTTTACGGCTGTTCAGGTGGGAGGGCGTTGGATTTTAGATGAAGCGGTTTTTGGTCAAGTGGCGAAACGCCAAAAAATAAATTAATAATACAAAAAATTAATAGTAAAACAAATTAAAGACAGCGACAGAAAATTAATTATTCAATTCCATAATAATAATTTATATTTTATAAATTATATTGTGCGGCTGTCTTTATTTTTTGATTGGTTTTTTCCGGGCTTTCCCCAATAAATGCAGCAAATGTTGGAGAAATTTTAAAAAAAAAAACTCAAAAAAAAAAAAAAATTATTTTTAATTTAAAGTTGTTTTTATTCAAAATTTTGTATTTTACTATTTTCCAAAATTAAATTAATAAATATCTAAATAAATTAACTCTCTGAGAGAAATGTGAACTGAGTGTTTATATAAATTTGTACATTTTATGTCAAACAATTTTGAATAATTATTATATACAGCCAAAAAGCGCTGCTAACCAAAAGGCAAATGCGAAATGTTGAATGGCATTTAACATAAAATATGATTGCCGAAAACTGACAATCAACGAGAAGAAACCAGCTATCAGCTAAACGTTTCACATTTGCTCAAAAGAAATTAATGAGAATTAAGCGATCTGCCCACCTAATACCAGAGACGACGACATATGCCCCAAGTATCACACTGGGACCTTGCCCCTCGATTGGCTGGCGTCGCGGGGATGGTCATCAAAAGCATTCCATTTAAATTCAAGTTTTTTTTTTGCATTGAAGATGGACACGAAACGTCCACGGCCAAGGACCGTGGCCAAATCAAAAGCACCAAATCTAAACCAATAATAAAGTTAAATCGATAATTGAGGTCAGGCGAAAGGTATTTTTGGGGGCCGATAATATTTTAAATCGCAGGGGCCTTTGGCGAACATACGTGATCGCTTAACTGTAAATTAAATATAATTTACCAATAATCATAATTACAATATGTAGTTTTGTTATGTTCTTTTTCTTTTTCTTTTCGGGTTTTTTTTTTCCTCTTTTGTTTCCGTGCAAATCTCGAGCTTCAGCTGATCCCTTAAGCCACACCAGACGCATAAATCATCAAGCAAAAAGTGTTTGGATCGATAACTGTTTAAGTCTGAGCCGTCTAACCGTGAGATTGCCGATTTGTTAGAAGATTGCCTCTGTCTCAACGTGCGCCAGCCAGCTAATGTTGGTTTATCTTTTTGTTTTGTCTTTTTAATTGCATTTGCTTAACCGATCACGCACTATTGGAGTTAGTGACCTCAGAGACTTTAAACTTTTTATATAGCCACGTTAAGAACACTTTCCATTGGAAAAATCAAGAAAAATCAGTTCAGTTTCCTTAAATACCATATTAAAACAAATTGATCCATTAATGCTTTTTCAATAATAATTTATTATATATTGTTTTTAAACTTGTTCACTTTTCGTTATGTTTGCTGTTCTCTAGTTGCTGGTGTCCTGTCAGTATTCAGTATTATTTTAATGCTATTTATTGTAATAATATGTATGTTTTTGCAGCGAGCGACAAATGTTGCACAATAAGTTAACATTTTTGATTCAATTTACACTATAATTCGCTTAGCTGCACCCCAAACAAATCCACCAGAATATTTGAGTTTTTTTTTATAAAAATTAAGCTTGTTTTACTTTCTGGTTTCAGAAAAAAAATTAAGGAAATGAGTTAAGAAAAAACAATTGCCTAAGAAAATTAATGAATATTTGAAAATTTTATTTGAAATGTTGGACAATTAATTAGGGACAGATCAGCGAATTACAGTGTATTATGTTGTCAATACAATGTTCAGTGACTATTAGGACTAATGTTAATGTAATGTTAATATTTAAGGTATATATTATTATTATTATAGCATATGAAGCGTTTAAATAGATATATTTAATGTCGACTTTATAACACATTTTTTAATGAAGTTCGTATTATTTCTAATTATCATTTTTATTTATTTCCATCTCTTGCATTATGCTACTATATATATATATATTTTTTATTATATTTTTTTTTGTATGGTTTAATGTCTAAGCATGTGTGAATACTTTAAGTGTTTAGTTTATAAAATACTATGATTAGTTTTGCTTAATGCGCTTCTAAGCTAATAAATAAATTAAAACCTTGGCTTATAACATTAACTCTCAATCACTTAATTTCCATTTAAAACACTAAAAAGCGATTTATAAAATGATTACCGATGATTGAAGACATCCATATATATATACACTACAATTGCTATATATATATATATATGCATATGGTCTTCATTCATTCATTTCATTGTATAAATTAAATGCTTAAGAATTGTAGTTAGAAGCAATGATAAAATGTGTCGCAGTTAGTAAATGCTAAATGCTATGCCAACTCTAGTTTAGCAGCCATTTGTGGCATCCAGCACTACTTTAAAAAGTCTTTGTATGCCTATGTACAAAATGCTGGAGGCTATCCTAAATCTTAAGTGTACAACTGGGTTATGTCTATGCATTATGTATTGGTATCGGAAGTGTTTAATTTTTGCTATTTTAAAGTATGTACAAAACAGGGCATTCCAACATTTGCAACATTTGCAATTTGTCTCTGCTCGAGACTTTTGCATGACTTCTGTTTTTAATTTTGAATACGTATTTACATATGTTTTTGCACTAATCATGTTGGAGTTCTGCATTTAGCATTTTGGTCTGGCCGCGCCCTCACACGACGCCCACTTCTGAAACGCCGCCGACACCTGGATTGCACTTTGAGATCAAATATCCTTGTCGCCTTTGGCAAGAGCTTACCGCATCAGGAGCCTAATTAGCACTTCCGAACAGTACCGAGTTCTTGTAATATGCCGTTGGTCTCTCCGATAACGGACTTTTCACATCCCGCTCTGCATTCGCCGCCCGTGTCTTGCGCTCCATTTCCAGTTCCTGTGCAAGGGATTCTTTAAAATACACAAAAGAAATACCAAAAAAAAAAAACATATTTTATAAAGCTGACTGCATTAAATATATATATATATATTTACTAAAGGAGATGCAACCAAAGGAGATGGTTCAAAGGTAACCCAGCAAGCAATAAAACACCAAAAGTTTAGTAATTGGAAAACATACTTCAACCAGCAGCAACATTGTTTGTGATGTTGGCAAAGCGTACTTAACTCTGTCATCGAATATGTAAAGCATATTGAATTTTCTTGTTGCAAGCAACGAGCAAAGCGACATCGATTATAATTAGATTCATTATCTAGTCAAGCTTGTCCTTGTCCGTGCTCAGCGTCCAGTAGAATAAGCAAGTCAGCATACAAAAGACCTTTTTCAAAATACTCTTTTGTGTTTTTACTTACTTCTTCTACTGGAAAACATTTAAATATATTTAAAGATATATGCGAAAATTCATTAAGCTGACAATGGAAATTTTAGTTGATTTTCCCTAAAATTCCCTCATTTTAGTGACACCCAAAACTAAAGACAAAGTCTCTTTTAAATATAATCCCCAAGGGATGGAAAATGTCAGTAATTATGTGGATCGCGGATCTATGCATAAATTCATTAAACTCTTTTCGAATAACTAAATTTATTTCCTTGAATATTTTGATAATAAATTGATTAAATAAAGCATTGCTCAACTTACCCGAATAGTTTTGCCAGAAGGCGCCGGTGGCCATCAAATCGATGCCTGGATAGCTCCACGGAGCTTTCCGTGCCAGCAGCAGCGGCAGCTGCAGCAGAAGGCGGCTGCGGCTAAAACTGCCCTCAGCAGCAGCAGCAGCAGCCGCAGCAGCTGCACCAGAGGCAGCACTGGGCGGGTTGGTCCTCGCGATCCCGACTGGAGCAGCGCGACTCATTGTCGCAGGACAGCGCTGCTGCACTGCTAGCGCTCGATGGAGCCCTCGTGATCGGAATGCGGCTCGCGCTTAAAGTGGGTGGGGGAGTCCGAGCGGGTGGCGGATGCCGGCTGGACCGTTTGACTGGTCACATCACATGAGGAGCTGGAGGACTTCTCGGACTTATCACTGCCGCCACGGCTACCGCAGTCGATGTCTATGGGATTCAATGTAAAACAGAGGGCGCTGTGTTGGTTATCAAAGCGTTAGGCGCGGGGAGGGGGGGACAAGCGAGAGAGTCGAGAGGCGAAAAGCGGAGCAGGGAGGGATGGATTGGTATTGTTAGCCATGCGTTATGGTCGCCTCTGCCTTTTTTTCTTTCGTTTTCCTTTTTCTTTCTCTTTTTTTTTTTTGCCCCAAAACTTACCTTTGAGCGCCTCGGCGCCTTCGCTGCTGCCACTGCTGCATTTGCCATCAGCAGCGTTGCCTGCCCCACACAGCTCTGCATCGGTGCAGGTGACGCTGTTGCCATTCGCGTTCGAGTTGCCCCCTTTGCTGCCCCCTTCGCCCAGCTGCTGCTGATAGCGGATGCGAATCTTTCGCTCGCGTCTGAAGCGTTTCTGATAGAGCACTGCAAAGTCGGGAAAAATAAATAGGGAAAACCAAAATAATGAGTCATATGTCGAGTATTTCTCTTTTATAAAATTGAAATTTATTTTGTTGCTATTTAATAACTGTTTAATTGCTGTCGTATTTGACATTTTCAGCAATTGCACATTTTAGATTTATTCCAAACTTTTAGAATCATTTCAAATTAATTTCACTCTAATATTTTTTAATATTTTAAAGAAAATAAAATAATCCTATACAATTAGTATTTTATTTTATTTAAAATAAGATAAGTATTAAATTGAAATTTCTTTTGAATAATTCGTAATATGTGCAATAAATTGAAAGTATCCTAAAAGAGAAAGTTTTCTGTAATAAATTATATTACATAGTAATTTTTCTAAAACTATTTTCAAGTCTAACTTGAATTCAATGTTAAAACCATTTTGTTAAAATTTTGATAATTTTGGAAAACTGCGTGAAAATGTTCAAGTTTGCCGAGATGAAAATACTTAATCATATTTAGAAACCATAGAATTATTCACATCATATTCATTTTGTTGATTTGAAATACATTTTACATAGAGAAGAAAGTTTTCGAAAATTCAAGAAATTAGAAAAAATTATATTATATTATTGTAAATTTTGAATAATTATTTATTTGTATTTCCCGCAAAGCTGAAGTTTGACTGTGTGGCAGCGGCCCAGGAATGCCCCAGATATAAATCTGTGAACTCAATCGATTGATCGCTGATCGTTAATCGTTAATCGTTGATCGTTGATCGCTGGCTGTGGCTGTGGCTGTGGCAGCTCAACTGCGCATCCGCCCGTGTGTGTGGGCGCAATTTGAGCAAAAAGAGACTGTGGAGACATAGAAACATAATCGAACGTTGATCGAGTCAGTGGAGCGTGGTGACAGCCGTTTTGAGGGTGTAGCAAATTCATCAAAACGATGCACGTAAATAAATGTTGTATATGTATTTTGTTGCTTTGGGCTGTGCTGATATTGAATTTCACTCATTGGTCATTGGGGAGCGACACGGCGACACAGCGACAGTAGAGCTGCTTGAGGACCGAGTGAGCAATGTTCTTGACGTTGCGCCGATGCACTCACGCTCCCGATGCATTTGGGCCAATTTGTAGCGTGTTGTACAACCTCAAGATGTTTATCGCTTTGCTTTATTATTAGTTGCAATTAGATGTCTGTGTGGCTTTAACATTGTTGCATGCAATTTGTGTGTTTAGACCCCGGCAAACAGCAACAACTGCAATAGCAGCAAATAAAATGGCAATGTGGGACGAGCCCAACAACATTCCAAGTGCCTTCAACATTTATAAATGCAGTTCGCTCTACTCTACTGATTTATATGCAACTCCGAATGCGATTGCTTGCTAGGACCTCGCTCCAGCAAGAAGTGGCAGCAAAAAACGTAACGAAATAAATGGTGAGACTTGCCACAATTACCATTTCGAGTTTACAATTTTTTGAATTGAAATTGGTGCTCCTTGCTGACTTTGAGGTGTTAGCCAAAGCGAAGGCGTTTGCAATTTGAACACGGCCTACAATTTGGGCCAAGTGGATTGTGCAATATCAAACTTATATAACCACTCAAGGTACTGATCGATCGAGTCTTTATCTTCTTTTTTTTTTTTTCTTTAAAATCAAAAGTTATTGATGGCTCTCGTTGAATTTCACAATTTGATGGCATACTTTTCTCCAAGTAGTTGTCGTTGTTGGTAAATCCAAAGCCAAAAAACAAAGCGAGCACAAAAGATATTAATATTATGTTATTCATTCGTTGATATTTGATCCATTTCAAATACAAGCCTGACTAGTTTCAGCAAACGAATCCTATTTACTGAATACCCACCCACAGACATATATATGATATTTAATGGCCATCAGAGTAATTGGCTGAATGGTTTCTTATTTCAAATATAATATGTATGGCAAAGATTTTGCTGTTCACGCTGACACATTGGCAACTCACCCCTAAAGACTTGCCAGAAAGTTTGACAACCCTTTTAGTCTTTCGGAGTCATCATAAACATAATAACAACCAATTAAAAGATCTTTGTGCGTCAAATAAAACTTTTTGTCTGTAACCAAAAGCAACTCAAATTCCACACCCAAAAAGCAGTGAAACACCCTTTCCCTTCCCCCTCACCCGTTTCCCCTCTGTCCACCCACGAACTCAACCAGACATCGACATCATCTAATGTTGTAGCGTCGTCGTTGGAGTTGGAGTTGAAGTTGGAGTTGAAGTTGGAGTTGAAGTTGGAGTTGAAGTTGCTACTTTTTGCCAATCGCTCGAGTGTAACTAAATAATGAAATGATATTAAATTCATTTGAATTGTGATTTCTGTTGAAAAGGTACCCGCTACGGCAAATGAACGGAACGGAACAGAACGGCAGCCTTGGACTGAGAAAGCCCTTTTGAGCCTTGTCGACAGACAACCAGAACGACCACCAAAGCACCAAAAGAGCGACAGAGAGACAGAGAGTGCGAGAGAGTGAGTAAGAGCGAGAGAGAGAGAGAGAGAGAGCGAAAGAGTGAGGCTGCTGTCGATGGACATATCAGGTGTCATTGTCATTTGAGTCAGCTTACATTAAGCGCACACGATTGGAGTCGGCATAGGCACTCAGCCACTCAGCCACTCAGCCAGTCAGCCACTCGGCACTCGGCACTCTTTTAGAGAACTCACTGCGGACGCTGCTCGCTGTCAGCGTTCTGGCTTGTGAAAAGGGATTGCTGCCAAGTCAAAACTCACGCAGCACGGATATGAAACTATAAATAGGCATACAACACTCGTTGCATAAATGCAAATTGACAAATGTACTATGAAATTAAAGCGCGAATGGAGAAATCATCAACAAATAAAAAGGAGGCAACTTTGCATTTCAGATTTATATATATATACAAACATGTTGCAAGCAATCCATAAGTCGTTGTCAACTGGATTGCATTGCTATATCATATAGCAACCATAGAAACTATCATTCCTAGCTCAAAACTGTCAACCTTTGTCAAAATTGAACCGATTTTCATAGTTTGAGCTTTAGATCAATGCTCCATTTAAAGTTAAAAACACGATTTAAATTGGTATTCAAATATTTAAAAATTAAATATATAGATTATATTCAAGCTTGCTCACAGAAACGCAGTCTAAACTTGAGACTCGAACATTTTAGCAACTTATTTTAATTATTTAATTGGTTGAGTAGCTCAGGCGATAATCACTTTGAAGAATAAATATACACTCAATATTAATGCGATTTACAAATTGCTCTGTGCAATCGATTAGAGTCAAAATACAGCTGCGAAATAAATAATAGAAATTTTCTCAAATGTTTATTAATTACACTTGTAGGTTTAAGGAACTTAGGAAAATGGTTTTAGAAGTCAAAGACTTTAAAAAAAAAATGTGAATAATTTAGCGTTTGCAAGAAATGAAGAAAATAAATGGAAAAAATAATAGCACAACCTGTTAAAGTATTAATATTGTTAATAATATATATACTTTATTATTTTACCTATTAATATTATTAATAATATATATACTTTAATAAATAGTATTATCTATAAACGCAAATCTAGGAATCATAACGATTTCTATAAATAATGCGTAAGTGTTGCTATTATTTTTATCGCTACTTTTTGGCACTTTCCCTTCAAATTAAAAAATATATATATATATATATTTATATATTTAAAAGAGCAGTACTACCTTTAGGGGCAATTCGAAGCAATATAATGAAAATGATTATCTTAAGACATTGCAAACGCAATTGTTTGCTTTGTGACCAGCAACAAAATATGTCAAAGTGGCGCTATTCTTTCGCAACTGTTTGTATATATGTATATATATGTTCCAGTTCAACGATTCGTCAAGATATATCTTTGATTATATGTATTTAATGTGCTGGTTACTTTATTTCCAGCTCTCGAACTTACCACGTAATTTGCGTTCATCCACAAGCTGCCTTTCCAGCGCATCTTTGACTTCCCGTTCGCGCAACACATCCATCTTGAGTTCGGCTGTGAAGTACACAGAGAGAAAAAACCAGAGAAAGAGATAGAGAAAGAGAGAGATGAGAGATGAGAGTTAGTTACGGTCACATTGAGCACGACTTGCTTTGCATATCGATGCCAATAAATGTATTTTGTGGCTTGTAAGTTGTTTGTTGCTCACCTTTCTCGTAGCTAATCTGACGCTCCTGTTGCCTGGCATTGTCGGCGGCGACTTTCAGCAGACTTTGGATGTTCCGCAGCAGCGTCTCCGTGGAGCTGGCGGGCACCACGGCATGCCCATCGATGCCGAGCGGACCCAGCGCCAGGCCGCCAGCGAGCGCTGCCGCAGCGGTGCCATCGTTTGCCGCCAAGAGCGCCTCGTTGGGCGTCAGCGCACCGCCGCCGGCCGGTGGTGGACCATTGACGGCGGCAGCGGCACCAGCGGCCGCACCATTGGCAACGGCAGCGGCGGCTGCCAACTGGGAGTAGTTGAGGGCGCGCTGATGCTGCAGTGCAGCGGCCGCCGCCACCTCGGCTGTGGGTGAGCCGTGCTGGCCGACAACAACAACGCCCAGATGATGCGCCGGACCCGGATGCTGATGCGAGGAGGCGGCTGCCGCATGTTGATGCAAGTGTGCAGCGGCGGCAGCAGCAGCGGCGGCAGCGGCCGCTGAACCCGTCGACAGATTATCACGCTCCGTGTCACTCAGATCTGTGGTTGGAAGGCACACACACACACACATTAACACACACAAACACATACACACATAAACAGACAGAGAGTCGTCAGTCGAGTGGCAGTCAGAATTTGTAAACGTTATTTTCTTATCGCAAAACGCAAAGTTTACTCACCCTCATCGTCTTTGGCGAGGCAACGTTCATCGACTTCGGATTGGTTCTCGTCGCTCAGATTCTCCTCCTCGTCGTCGTCCTCGACGCCAATGATGGCGACACCGCCGCCAACACTGCGACTGCCCTCGTCCAAGCTGCGCGAGCCGCGAGGCGATGCTGCCGCCGAGAGGCAATCGCTGCGCTCGCTGCCGGCATCACAATTGCTGCCGCCGTGGTCCGTGTTGCCGCCGGACTTGCTCAGATTCAGCACGGGACTCTGGCGCGTCGGGGAGCCTGCGGGCAACAACAACAACAACAACAAGAACAACATCAACACTTGCCACAAGCACAAGGAAACCATTGCAACCATTTCGAACTTACAATTGCGTGAGCTGAGATCCCTCGGCTTCGAGTCCCGTTCGCTGACAATGCTGCCACATCGATCGATGCCGCCGGCACAGATGGCCTGTTGCCGCTCATCGGTGCGCTCCTCGCGCAAGCGCTCCAAGTGCTTCACAATGTCCTCATAGGCGGCACGGCAATTCTCCCAGATGCCCGACCGAGCCAGTGCATCCATATTGGCTGCCGACATGCCAGCATTCTGCGCCGCCGCCTTCAGCATCTGGCTCTCGGGACGCGCATGGAGACCGTGTGGCGGCATGCCAGGCGACATTAAGGCCGCCGCGCCCGGATGATGGGCATTAATCTGCATAAATGCCATATGGTTAATGGGCGGTGGATTATAGCCATTGGCCAACAGCGGCGACTTCTCCATCCGATTCATATCTGCAACAGGAATAAATGCGACAATGGACATATTAATTTTCGCCTGAAGTCTGAAATATGTGTGTATATATAATCTGAAATAAATATATAATATATAAATCTGAAATATATATATAATTCGCAGTCAAACATAAGAAACAAGTTTATAGAAATTTCGCAGTTAGCAAAAGCGGAAGAGTTCTGAGTAAATTGGAGAATGGAATGCCTGATAAGTTTTTCATTATAAACATTAATATATTATTATGAATTTATATAATCTGAAATATATATAATCTGCAGTTTATATAGTCCACAATCAAACATACGAAATCTGCTACAGTTCTGCAGTTTGACTAAATACAAAAAGAAAGACAAATTCAGCTGTTGATGTTGTTCTTTAATATATAAAATTATTCATTTATTTTGGATACAGACTATTTTCGAGTAATTGGCATACAATTTGTAACCGTTTTTATATTTTATTAAGATTTATTTTACTAAGGCAAAAGTATAAAGCATCAAAAGATTTGATTGAATGCTTAACTTGGCGTTAAAGTTAAACGAAACTAAAATGATGGAGTCAAATGGATAATAATAATTGTATTCAAATAAATGTAATTATTAAATAAAAATAATTATTAATTTGCATTTTATTGAATTAAAAGACTGCAAATCAAATTTATGCAATTCAAAGTATTTTAAATGGCTTTCAACACAAATAACACTTTCGATTTTTATTTCGCGAAATGCTTTGCAGCTCTTTTTGTTCAATTGAATTCAGTGGAACGCCCACCTGTTCACTATGGATATACATATATATATATATATATATATATATATTGCATGTGTATGTGTATACTTATCTAATAATGTCTGCACGCCCAGACTAAACACAACAACTAAAATAAAAACATGATAAATGCCCATATTTAAGGCCACCTTTTGTTTACACACACAGACAGACAGACAGACAGACAAACGGACAGCGTCATTAAAGTGCATAAAATATGAAAATGTTGTATTAAGTTTGAAATGCGTAATGCAATTAAAAGTTTTCAGATTTTAACGCTTTAAGTGCTTAAATACAATCGACTAACACAAAAATGCAGTTGCATTTGTCCTTCGCATCGCAGCCGAATAGTGCAATATCACTCAAAAATCAACGCCCTATAATTCAACGAGTATTTCTCAGCTGCCTTAAAGGGATTGAATGACTTGGCAAATCTTAATATACACACACACACACACACACACACACACACACACACACACACATACATTACATACATACATAAATATCGAGTTCTCAGTGATGAACAGGCGCCGGCGGCGCATAGTTCTAAAGAAATAATAAATAAAAAATAAAAAAAAAATGAGCATGGGATGTTTTTGATATATGTTTCTGATATTGTGCGTCGGGGCTCAGACACATTAATAGAAATGGGCGTGTTCGTGGTTGTCAGACGCATCAGGAAATCATAGAGCCACAATATGTAAAAATCAATAATCGATAATTTTTGTAAGCCTCGCTTTTGTGTGCAACTGTAAGTACTTATAATAATTACAATGCCAAGCCAAACAAAAAAAAAAAAGAAAGAAAGAAACAATTCAAATAGCAGTCATAAGTCGGCAGTCTTGATTTGGTTTGGTTTGGTTTGGTTTGGTTTGTTACTTTTAAATGCGGTTTCCTGTACAAATCACATGTTGGCGAGTCGAAACGTTTTCGATATGATTGCTTTGCCTTGGACAAATGGCCATTTATCTGAACTTGAAGCTGGGAAACTGCGAACTGCGAACTGGGAACTGGGAACTGTGTGAGTGAGCCAAGCTGCGATCTCTGTGAGCTGTGAGCTGTGTGCTGGCAACGTGCTTTACAAGTTGTTATTGTTATTGTTGTTGTACTACAAAACAATTGTGCATTGTGTGCATCTGTATCTGTATCCGTTCGCCAAAGTTATAATCAACTCAGCCACAAATCACAAACATTTCTTTAGCCACTTTCAATTGGCTGCACGAGCATCGAACGATTGAGCAAAGTCAACCAGCAACGTATAAACAGATCTCGATCCGCAACAAAGCCCAGAGCAATTTCAATGAAATCATTTCATTAGGATTTCAAGTGCGTTATTTGGCATTTGCCAATCGAGTTATGCGCCTTGTTATTGGATCAGATCGTGGTTATGGTGGCGCTGACGGCCATAACATTATACTAAATGACATACCAAAACGATCAATGCACTCAAATTGTGCAACAAGGACCACAATACACTGGGCAAAAAGAAGCTATAGAATGGAAATGTGAAAAAATCCTACCTGAATTCCAAAGTGCATTTTTATGTAAATATTTTTGTTTATAGAAATTGATTAGGCTTTGATTGATTTCATGGTTGCCTCAATCGCAACGAGTAGAAGAATTGAATGGAATTTGAATTACTTACCACTAATATGGCCATTCTCGTAGGCATAGTCACCATTGTCCAGGCGATGCTTCTTCAGCTGCGGATGCTGGGTGAGATGCGAGGGCGGCAACGAGAGGCCGACGGGGCCACGTTTGGGCGGTCTACCCGGTCTGGAACTGCGGAATTGCAGAGAGTTACTGTTGGGTTGAAAGCAATGACAATTGGCTTGGTATCAGTATAAAGCAGCTGTAGCACAAATGGGGAAACACACACACACACACACAGAGAGAGAGAGGGGGTTGTGGTGGCATAACTGGGTTAATATTATTTATTTGAGTTCTCTTGAGCTGCACATAATATATAATATTTTTGATTAAAAACTAAATCTTGAGAGTATTATAATTATTTTTAATTGATTATTAGTATTTTATGTTGCTTGATAAATTTATTTCGACTTGAACTTGTTCAAAAGTTATAGAGTTAAGCATTTATGAAGCACCCCGTTGATCTGACCATTAAACCTGCAACCACTTTAATTATCTGCTATAAAAAAGTGTACACAGAAAACAATAAAAAAAAAAATGAAAGAAACTATATTTTCGAGTCAGTTTTGTAACCGGGCAGAGGCAAATGCTACTATTTGGTTTTCAAATATTTAAATAAGCCCAAAGCAAATACTTGACGTACGTAAATGTATACATACATATATTGTAGTTACCAAAAGGCATAAACAAGTTTGCGCAGCAGGCAGCAGCAGCAGTTATGACAAACAACAACTGATGCAGATAAAGATACAAATACAACAACAGCAACAACAAGAACAGAAGAGAAGAACAGAAAAAACTGCGTCTGCCGCAAATACTCAGAAACTAAATGCAAATAGCGACTAAAGGCAGAGACAGCTCCACAAACTCCAACCACGGCAAACAATTAACCAAATTACTCAAATTAAATATAAAAAAAAAAAAAAACAGAAAAAAAAACAGAAAAAAAAACAGAAAACTGGGTTCTTAGTTGGCTGTTGGCTGTTGACTTGTGGCAAACATGAGAACAAATAAACACGGGTAGCAAATGTGGGCGCAGATTGAACAATTTATAATTGTGCGTGGACGCAGTTGTTCCCAGAGCGATACAGTTGCAATCGGCAAGCGATTGCAAATATTTACAGTTATTTCAACAATAAACATCAATATCAATATTTGCATGTAAGACCTGACTCGAGATTTAATTGTGCAGCAACAACACAATGACAACAAACACAGACTTGCCCCGCCGGGTCATGTAAAGAGACCAGTTAATGAGTAATCAAAAGTTTAAATATTATCTAGCGAAAGTGTTTTTTTTTTTTTATATATCTTTTGTTATATCTGTTTTCTTTTGTTTTTGTTTTTGTGTCCTAATCGGACTTGTACAGGTCTGTGACGTGCAAAAAACATGAGAGCGTTTCTACTGTTTGTGTCGGTGTCGTCAGTCAGTGAAGTTAATGAATTTATGAACCAGCAAGTGAAAGGGAAGACTTGAGTCAACAATCATCACCAACGGGCAACCAACAGGCAACCAACCGACCAACCAACAAACAACAGCGACACTCTTCTCGTTAACAGGGCCACCGATAAGGGGGCGCCACACATTGTTGGTGGCAACTTCATTGGAATTGGAATTTCTGTTGGCCAACAACTGTCGCCGTAGATTGAAAACTGCCTACATTTGTCGACTTTCGTCGACTTGCTTGCTTGTTTTGTGAATATATCATTTCTCGGATAAGATTTGTTTGCTTTGGATTATGCAAGGATAAGATAAAATAAATAAAAATCAGATAAAGAAAATTCTTGGTTTAAGATTTAATTTAACTAATATTTAATTACTGTTCAAGCTTGGGATTATTCGTGATTGATTTTGAATTGGACTTCCTGTGGGGCCAACAACATTGAAAACTTCCAACCAATTTGTCATCTCTCGAGTTGGCTTTGTAAATATACTTTCTCGGATAAGATATGTTTGGCTTGTCTTGTTAAGTAGGCCAACAGTTTTGACTAATAACTGTCTTTTGGATTATGCAAGGATAAATCAAATAATAGTCAGATTACTCATAAGACTCATATCAGCATTGTCCAAGTTTGGTTTTATTCGCGATTGGTTTGCGAGCACTTTTTTTGATTATGCACTTGTCGGTGGATTTAACCCAATTCAAATGCAGCCAAATACATATGTAGAGCTAAAACAAACGTTTAGTCAGGTACAAGCCAGAAAGTCAGGCCAAAGCATGAGGCAAACCGGTTCGCAGTAGCCCAACTAGTAGCTACTTACAACTGGCGAGCAATTTGCTCCGAGGGCGTACTACAACTGCCACAACCGAACCAGTTTGCAGCTGTGTTTCAATATAATCAAGGCAGAGCTTTGCACTGAACCAAGTCCTGGCGCTGCAGTCGCAACAAACAGCGCCAAATGTTCCAATCAATTGGCTCAGCTACTATTCGCAAACAGTTCCAATTGCAATTGCAAATGTCATAAAAAGTGCTGGGCGTTGCCAACATTTGTCAATGTGAATATGGGTCTGGATTGCGGCCCAGATATCAGACTATATATGTATATATATATGTGTATGTGTGTATGTGTGTGTGCTGCATTTGTCGCTTTCGCAAATTGGCAAATCAATTAAGTTTATGGCTGCGTTGCCACCTTAATAGTTTGGTTAAATCAATGCTATGCGGAGCACGGCAATTAAATAATGCCAGCCAAATTTCCATATTTCAATTATGCAATGCAAACGCGAGCTTTTAATTGAATCTACAATTTAAATTGATTTTTACAACATTGCATGCCACTTGTCTATTTGCGCCAAACCAAAGTGGTTTGCCTTTGATCCCAAAGACATCAAGCATTTCGCAGAAGAAGCCGGCGCTTGAAGTCGACTCACATTTCTCCAACAACAACAACAGCAGCAGACTCAAAGTCAGTTCACGTCTAGCATTAGAATTAGCATGTCGATATATATATATATATATAGACATATATAGACTTATTCGCAACGGTCGAGCTCAGCTGCGTTGCTTGCCCAACTTTGGCATTCATTGTAAAGCGACATGCAAATGCACAAATGACATGGCATGACAGTCACATATCAGTCACATAAGCACACTGCAAGAAACAAATGCAACTTTTAGTATTCCAATCAAACCAAGAAATCATTGAACGAAATTCTTTCCCGCAAAAATATCCATTGTGAAATAAGTAATTAAGATATTTAATTCTTATTTGAATCAGACTTAAATCAACAACGAACGAACTCTACAATTCACTTCTTTTTTTGTAATCTCTCATAAATAAAATAACAACTTCGAAATAAGTAAATAAATTCTTTAGTTCGTATTTAAAGTGCTCCAACGTGGAATGCAACAAAATTCGGCTTGAATATCTCAATTAGTTTCCTCAATTAAAAACGACAGCGTTTTCGCTCAGTGTAGATATGTAGCTCAACGGACAAAAACAATGGCAAATTGTGGGCTTGTATTGGGTAGCATTTCAAATGACTAGATAAACAGAAATCCAGTTATAGGAGAGACTACTGTTACTGATAACAAGCGGCTGCCGGATAGCAATCATTTCACTGTGCAATGGGTCAGTTAATCAGTTATCAAAGCAGGATAAACAACTGCCAGCAAACTATTTGCAAATACTAAAAACAAACACTAATTGTACATTTCATCTGTCTATATATGTACCTATATATATATATATATATGTATATGGAGTCCAAGTTCCCGTAGTTATTGAAGCTATTCGCTCTTCTTTTTTCTTGCTGTTGACTTCAATTTTCAATTGGCGTGTTAATATCTCATTTAGTTCTCGTCATAAATTACCAGCATGCTACGTGTTTCTCTTACAAACTTCTGCCGAGTCCGCTGCTATACAGATACATATATATATATATATATATATCTCCCTGCATTCACCCCGTTCGAGAAGTCGCCGCGCTCGTGATGATGCTGAGAGAATATTAGTTGCATTTTTATTTTTATTTCTTTTTGTTTTTCTCTTTTATTTCGGTGGCTGTGTAATTATTTATTATAAAAATAAATTGATCTATTGTTGCTTCATTTATATTAAAAACAATGTTGCTTTTGTTTTTCGGTTACACTCAATTAAGTCGCATTTGCAAAATGCAAAATTGCCAACAATAATAACATTAGACTAGAAATCTCACATCTCGCAGCAGACAGCGAACCGATGCAAAAACAAAAATTATGTTTTCGAAATTATGAAAATTGTAATCTTGGTGTAGGCGAAGAATTAATACCCTGGCATATATATATATATATGTATTAATGGACCGATTTTGATAATCATTGATTCGCAACTAATTTTTGGAAAATTAAAGTCGGAGCTTTAGGAAAAAAACATGAATTGCCTGCTAGTTAATTAATCAATTCGAACTCTAAACTGCGATTAGCTGGATTTGAGCACTTAAAAGTGCCCCCAAAAATACTATGCACATAATTGTGTTTGAAAAGCAAAATGTGGCCAATTTCAATTTAAGCCTGAACCTTCAATTTGCATAGCTGTTGCCAAGCATGGCCAATTTTGTGTAAAAGGTGTGCCCGTCAGACCGTTTACAACACGTTGCATCGATCCTATGGCTAATGTGGACCCGCCTCCAAAGCGCTCACTTTGTGGATGCCGCACCACACAAGTCTGCAAGTCTGCAAGCGTCGCTTTGGCCAATGTGGCAGGTAAGGAGACAGCCAACTGTCATTTCAGATCAAATTCAATTTCAATCCGGAGCAGCACCTAATGCATTGCCTAACCAACCAATCGATTGAGCGAACACTGACAAAAACTAACTGACGGCGACTCATCAACTGACTGACTAACTGCCTGACTGAGTGACTGACACAGCTGACACAGCTGTCGGAGTTAAATGTTAAATGTTTATTTTTTTTATCGAATGAAAGAAAAAAAATGTGTGTGAGACAAAAATGCTCGCCAAAAGAGGCAAACAAATATAATAAAAAATATTGCAAAATATAACAAAAACGGATGAGAGCTCAAGAGTATTTTAGAGTGAAAAATAAAGAGAAATTCCAAAAAAAAAATGTTTAAAAAAAAAAAAACAAATTGTTGTCGTTCAAAATTTGCTGTTGTTGCTTTTGTTGTTGTTTTTCTTGTTGTTGTTGTTGTTGTTGTTGTACATCCGATCATAAAAATGTGTTTACTAAACCGTCTGTGGAATTTGATTAGACTGGCTCGCTTTGACCCACATCTTTTCGCATAGCTGGCCAAACGCGTTATCCTTAACCAAAAGCAACAACAAAAAAGAAAAAGAAGTGGAAAAAAAAGCCCATTAACACGCTCTATTTGTTTACGTTCCCAAAAAACTTCCGGCTGTCGTACGCTGGCTCGTCCCATTTCCGCATTAAGTAATTAATTTAATAACAATTTTTTATTTTTTGTTTTTTTTTTTTCGCTCTAAAAACTCTCAAGTGCACACAGAACCGAGTACATCGATTGTAGGATCGATTTCGATTTCGATTTCAACAGATTGCCATAGTTTTTTTTTTATTATACTTGTGTGTTTACCTCTCTGGCGGCTTGATCGATAGGCATCTGCAATTAAAAAGAGAAGAACAAGAGACAAGAGTGAAGTATAAAAAACACATAGGTAAAAAACGTTGTATGTGTGTGTGTGGTTTGTTGTGTGTGTGTGTGTTAAGCTTCGACTAAAACAAAAACAAAAACAGCAACAAAAAACAAAAAAAAAAAACACGATCAGAAAAAAGAAAACGCAATTTTAAAAATTTCAAAATTATGTTTCACTTATGGACGGCACGGCGGGAAAGCGGGTGTGAAAATGCACACGCCCCAACCCCTTCAAATAAAAAATAAGAGACGCAGGCCGAGGCAGGCAGCCACGATAACTACAGTTTATAATTACCCCAGGTCCCAGACCATAAACGCAATGGGGTGCACACACTGAGCTGACCACGTCCTTGCTCTGCCCGGTTCACCCCGCCCCCCTCCCATCCGCCCCACATCCCGTCTTGTTCCACAGAACCAGAGACTATAAAACAACTGACAACTGCCTTTAGCGGTTTTCAACTCGCATTTTTCGCTTTACCCTTTTTTCGGTCAGTTTTGTGTCGACTCGTTCCTCGTTCCTCGTTCTCTCTTTCGTTCTCCGTTCCCCGTAACCCGTAACCCGTTGCTCATTCCCCGTTCCTCATTCCTCATTCCTCGTTGCTCGTTCCTTGTTCCTCGTTCGTTGTGTTTTCAAAAAATTTTTTTGGCTCTGTCAGCGCCCAATTCTCTACTTGTTTCAATTTAACGCAAGTCTTTCAAGCTAATAATAGGTTTAACCGCATTTTTAACTGTTCTTCAATTGGTTGAACGCACTCAGCGTCGAGCCGCACAGCCCTTGAAACTGTTCTACACAGCGCATGTGCACTTTTGGAGCAATGTTTCCATAATTAACTATATGGTTTTCCAACTCGGCATTTCTGTGGCTAGGGCGACTCCCGGGGGCTGCCCGTCTGTCCCCGGGCCCGATGCTAACTGCACTAAAAATGGGTACCACAAGCAAATTGTCCAAATAAATACTCGTATGCTGTCTCTATCATCAAAAATGATTATGGTTTTAGGGTATTTTTTTTGTTTTTTTGTCTTTTACAAATAAAACGTTTATGTCGAAAATAACTATTTTATGGGTGCTTTTACATTTTGGCAAAATATGAATAATCGTGAAAATAACATGATCTAAGAGTCACTATAAGACAGAACAGGAAAAATCGAAAAATATACTAGAGATATTTGTGCTGTTGAAATTTGATTGAACAGCAAGTCAAAATTTGATCAGGTTTGACTTTGGAAGTAAAAGTGGCATGAATAAAAAGTTGATATAGAAAATTAGTATTTTCTAATAATAATATTTCTAATAAATCGACACTTTTCGCATGTTCTACAAATGAATATATTAAGATTTGAGTTGCTCGAATTCAGCATGACTGAAAAAGGGAATTAAGATCTAAGTTGATTGAAATAACGATCGATAAATTCGATCAGATAACTTAAACGATTTAGTGTTGACTTTAGCAGCAACATTAACTAATTGTTCATATATATATTGACCAACAAAATTGAATTAAAATTTGAATTAATTGAAATAGCAAGTCAAAATTTGATTTGAGCTAATTGTTTATATATTTTATAGAATCAAGTGTCTATCAGTGTAATTGCTCTGAAAAGTGTATAGTTTTTTTTGGCAAAGTTCAGGCACAGATCGAGATACTTATTTTTGCTGGCACTACTTGCACATGAGTTCAGACTATATATATTATATATGTATAAATATATATATATATATATATATAGTTTTTTGTGCTGTTGCTGTTATTTTAAATCGAACGGAAATGCTTTGACAAGGCACCGCACGCGTCGAATGTTTTGTGTTGTAAGCCAACAACAAAAACAGCAACAGCAACTGCAACAGCAACAACAACAACAGGGGCAGCAGCAGCAGCAGCAGGGAAACTGTTGGCCAACTATTGTTAGAATCGTTCACAAATTTACGCAATTGTGATGGGCGCTGTTAGCTGAACAATTGACTGCAGCGAAAAGGCCCTCTTTGAAGTTAGAGGGTCAACTGTTTGCAGGTGGTGAAGGGGTTGGGATGGGATGGGATGGGGGAAGGAGGAGGAACTGCAGTTACGTTTGCATTGCGTATTTCCGCCAAATGTCAACAGAGCAAACTTTTGTTGATTAGTTGCCGAAGACGAGTTGGTTGGGGCTCAAAAATCAATCGATATCGTTCTACTGATTTACAAAACTAACTATTTGCATACACTCAAAAAAAAAAAAAGATGCACAAAAACAAACGACAGAAAACTAATCTTACTTTGGATATTGAAGATAAACTGATAAACATAGTTTAGATTGTTTATATTTGCCTGCATTTTAAGAGACTAATTTGAAACCAGAAGTTGACTTTGCTACTTTTCCGCAAAATATATATTCCATAAATAGAAAGTATTTCCGATATTTCATAAGCATAATTCTGTGATGGTTAATCTCCAACCCTAAAGATACTGTTAATATATAAACTCATTTGTAAAATACAAAAGAAGTTAATGATAAAGACGAATTCTTCCGCTTTAAAAATGTTGAATAGGAATTTTGGAAATGCCGAGGAATACATTTTGTTGGCGAGTGTATCAAGTGCGTTTCTTGGACCCTTCTCTAGCTAAAAGTTGAACTCACGCAATTATGCCCCCCCCCACCCCTGCCCCTAACTACACCGATCCTCTGCCGCGCCCCGCAAACGTAAACAGGAAATAAGGAAAATTGAACAAGAATTGCGAGTGGAATTTGCATTTCGTACCTGGCCGTGGTGCAGTCTCTGTAGAGGACATCAAAGTCCTTACAGCTGAGCAGCTTGCAGCGATTGACGCCCGGCTGAATGGCGCCCAATCCACGCAATATCCGCACCTGTTCCACATTGCACACGAGCGGCACAATGTCCAAGCGCTTCAGTTTCGTGTACACCGTGTGCAGGCCACCGACGAGATGCTTGAGGAATAGCTCGAATGCCTGCGGCAGACACAACATCGTCTCGTTGCTGATGATGAAGGCGGCGACCTTCTGGCCCCGATACTCGACCAGCTTGCACTCGTTGGCGCTGGGATCGGAGGTCGAGATCGGCGGCGGCGAGTTATACGAACGTGGCGGCACATGATGATGCGCCGCCGCCATCAGCTCCAGCGGCGACGCATGATGCATCATCTGCAGCGAGTTGAGCAAACCCAGCGAATGCGGCGGCAAACCATGCGGCATCCGTGGCGCCAACCCTGTCGCCAGCGCACCCGTCACATGCGGCGGCGGACTCAGCTGATGGTGTTGCTGCTGCTGCTGTTGCTGCTGCTGTTGTTGCTGCTGCTGCTGCTGTTGCTGCTGGTGTTGCTGTTGCGCCATTTGGGCCATCATCGAGTGATTCAGCGAGCTGACCGGACTGACTGCACTGCCGCCGTGTCGCGTCGGACTGCTGGCCGGCGAGCAGCTGGAGCCGCGTCCATTGCCCGTATGTGAGCTGCGTCCATTTGGCCGATCGTCGGCGGCGCCACGCGAACTGTTGCTGCCGTCGCGTCCGCCATTCTGTTGCTGATGTTGTTGTTGTTGCTGCTGTTGTTGTTGCTGCTGCTGTTGTTGCTGCTGCTGCTGTTGTTGCTGCTGCTGTTGTTGCTGTTGTGCTGCTGCTGCTGCTGCGGCGGCGGCTGCTGCTGCCGCTTGCTGTTGCTGCTGATGATGCATTAGCATCGCTGTCGTATTCATATTGCTGCTGGCCAGAAGCTTGCTATAGTTGCTATGATTATTATTGATTGCGGATATATTGTTGTTATTGTTGTTGTTATTGTTGTTATTATTGTTGTTGTTAAACGACCGTTCATCGGTTGCTTGTTGTTCTTTTTGCAGTTGTTGTTGTTCACTATATTCACTTGTCACGGATTGGCTATTGACATTGACAGAATCCATGCTTCGTCATTGGTTAAAATATATTTTTTGTTGCGCGTCTTCTCCGTTTTTGTATTTTTCTTTTTTTTTTGTTTTTATTTAATGGTATTTGTTAACCTGTGTTTCGAGCTTCCTAAAACCAAAAAAATAACGTATGTTGTACATAATTAATGGGCTTTTAATTTATTTTTAATTATTTATGCGCTTGATTGTCAGCCAAAAAAATAAATAAATAACACATGGCTTCAGCTAAGGAATTCTTCAAACTTTAAAAATTATAAAAAGCTAATGGACAAATGATAATTCTCACTACACGTGTGAAAACGATTGGTCTAAAATCTGATTTCAGATGCCTAATTAAGTTAGCAATTAAGTCATTGGTTAACGGAAATGTTTTCATCTAAACATTCTCAACAATCTTTGAGTTTATTTAAACAATACGAAATCCATCGGACCATCATTTTTTCATATATTTTTCAGTTTCATTTATATTTCCAATTCATATAAACACAAACCTAAGTAAACTAAATAAACATGCTAATAAATATTTTTTAATGCTCGTAACATTTCCGATTTCTTTTAATAAAACTTGTTTTTTTTCTAATTGTCCTATTCTGTGCAAAAATTTACCTTTTCTTATTTAATTATTAACGCGTTATTTATGAAGCAGTATTTATTGAATTTATTATTCGTAATCACACACACTTTTTTTATATTTGTTTTCTTGTTTCTTTGAAAGTTTAATTGAACTTTGGCTAATTGCATTTGCCATCAAACTGAATTCTCGATGCGTTTTCAGGCATTTTCAATCAAATAAAATGCCACTCGCATCATGATCTTTGCACAAATCAGAATGCGAACCGACGACACCGTCTCAGCAAAGCGCCAATTGGCTGAGTGAGAGGACGTAACCGTTACTCGTTACCGTACCGACGGCGTGTCATTGAGCTTTTTGGGGCCCGTCTGCTGCGCACGAGAGGACGACGGCGACAACTGCGACTGCGACTGCGACTGCAAGAAATCAACGAAACGAATTGCATTCGAAAGGGAATCGTCACTCACTCGCACACCCTCCTCCCACACACAAAGACACATTAATTGGTAATGCTCTTGTTACGCGAGAGCGAGAGAAAAAGAGAGAGAGAGAGAGAGCACGCGCAAGCACAGGCACAAGCACACAAGCACACACATACGCTTGCACACAAATCGAATGTTTTTTTTTTTGTTAATACACCCACACCATGAGTCGCCGATGTTCCGTTATATACCGAGGTACATTTTCGTCAACGATGTCGCGAGAGTCGAAAATGGAAATGCGCGCGCAAAAATTTTATTGCATTACCTTCGCTTACGAATGACAAATTCGTAATGAAAGGCGAGCCAAATGTGTTTCGTTTCGTTGCCAGTTTCCAGTGTTCGAGCCGAGTCTCTGCGTCCGCAGCGCCAGCAGTAGTAGCTACAGCCCCATCTACATTACATATACACATGCATACGTATCAATGTAGCTGTTTCTGCGTCCGTGTGTCTCTCTCTGTATATATGTGTGTGTGTTTGTGTGTGTGCAAAACCCGAAACTATATGTATACGATTGTGTTGCCGTTTGAATTGTACACCAATACTATCAAGAAGTGGGAGTGGTATACGATGCTTACCTCTGTTCGTAAGTGCGTGTGTGTGTGTGTGTGTGTCTGTGAGTCGATATGCGCTTGTGTTAGCATCCCCGAAAACACAATGACAAACGTAATAAAATACAAACAAAAACAAACACAAATGAAATGAAACACAGAAGCAGAAAAGACAGAACGAGAACGATGGCTGAGACGGAAGAAAATTAGCAGCAGCACTCATGCACACACACACACGTGCATTAATGCGTGTGTGTGTTGTGTATATACTGACAGAGCTCTCTCACTCATACTTTCGTGGATGGCAACGCCGACGTTGACGCTGCTGTCGCCGCCCTGCACACAATACACAGTACATTCGTTTTATTTATTTTTTCATTTCGTTTGTTGGCTTGGCGTTTTTTGATTGCGACGATTTCATTTCATTTGCGTTTCAATTTCATTTCGTTTCAGGCAGCAGGGCGCACTCTTCGCTCTCGCTTATTCTTGTTTTGGCTGCGAGCAGCGCTCTCGCTTCCACATCGGGCACATACTACAATCGTGCACACAGACAGAGCAGGTGGCTTGCAACCAATAAACATGAGTGAGCGTGAGCAGCTCATTTACATATTTGCATTGTGTGTGTGACTGTGTCTGTGTGTGTATGGCGTTTGAGAGTGAGCGTTACCCAGTAGCGCGCACTCACTCACTCCAATGGCCGATGTCGCTTATATAAACAAATGACAATTGTTTTGCATTTCTGTTCGTTGGCTGCTTTTTTTTCTTTCTTCTCTTTATGTCAAAGTAAATTAAAATAAATGCACTGCATTTACAAAAAAAAAAAAAGAAAACAAAACTTCGTGTTTGCACCCGATGCCAAACTTAGAGTTCGAGTTCGAGTTCGACTCTGACGTTTGCGCAGCTGCTTAGCGAGCACCTCTTTTGCTTTATTTTTATATTAGTATTTTGTATTTTTTATTGGAAAAGCATTTTAATTTCAATTAAAAAGTAAATGACAAAGTTTTTTCATATCCCCCCACCCCATGCCCCCGCCTCCGATAACCTCCTGCCCTTTCCATCTATCAACGTACGGCAGCAGTTCTCCTTCACCCGATCCTTATTAAACTGAACTTTTGGGCGTGCAAGCGAGACAGCTGCTGCTCCTGCTCGGCCTGATGGCCATCTCACATCTTCACTGCTGCTTCTTCTTCTTTTTTTTATGCTATTTGTGGGTTTGTCAACCGTTTTCCGTTTTCGTTTCTCATTCGTTTCACTTTTTCCATTTCATCTTCGTCGTCACATTTATATTTCTTGCAATTTTTTGCTTTGATTCTGAGCAGTTCGGCAACTGTTTTTTTCGTCATCCATCCCGTTCGCACTCGCTGACAGTTTTAAACTTGAAGTGCTGTGTGTGTGTAAGTGAGTGAGTGCGAACCGAGAGAGGTGTAGGAGTTTGGGAGGGGGTGATGGGGGGAGGAGGCTGCCTAGGAGTACGAATGTCAGACTTTGGGGCTGGCCCTGGGCGTTTATACTTATAATAAAATACGAAATACTTCTCGTTGTCGCACCTTTTGGCATCTACACATACAAACAAACATACAGACATACATATATTTTTATGTACATATGAACGAATGAATTTGTGTACATATGTATGCATTTATACATACGTATGTATGTATGTACATATGTATTTATGTATGTTCTATGTGCATGCTGGGCGTTAATACGGCGGGTTCTCTTTTCTCTTTTTTCTCTATTATTTGTTCTCAGTGGCTGCTGTTGCTGCTGCTGCGGCTGCTGCTGCTGATGGCGATTCTTTCTGTTCTGTTCTGTGTTTGTGTATCTTATTAAATTTCAGTTGGCACAACCAATCGGATATCGTTCTCTTCTCATTGCTTGCCTTGTTTGTCGCATTTTTTTCTTCTTTCATATTTGGGTACACATACATATGTATTTATGTATTTATATATATATATATATATATATATTTATATATATATATATGTATATGTATATGTAGCTAAATGTGTTCACGTTCTTATACATTGTATGTGCATATGCCTTTATACGGATGCTGTATTAAACATATATGTATATATTTATATATATAGGTATATATGTATGTACATAGCTAAAGATATGCTTGTACATATAAATATTTAATAATATTTAGTCAAAACTAGCTGAATTCCAAGCTTTTTCAATTTAAAAAATCGATTAATCACAAAACTATTCAATTTTCACACAACTTCAATAACTATTCATCGACTCTGAGGTTCTTTTCGGAATTTAATTAAATTTAAAACGAAAGAGTTCTTAAAATCAGCAATAATAATACTCAACAAATAATACTCAATAAATAATACGCGTCTGTAAAATCCTATAACGGATCATCTTTTGTCAACTTTCTGTTTCCGATTAAATTAAATACTTAATTCAGTTGCATTCTTTAAACATGACCTGGTAATTCATCAACACATTAATAACTTGTTATCTTAAAAGAAGTTGTTAAATTGTTATTTTTAATATGTAGCTTCTTAAATTAATTCGTATATCATAAAAAATTAGAACTAAGTCCGTTTGAATCAAGAATTTTAGTTATTGAATAAATAAACCATTTATTAACTTTATTGGTTTAAGCACAACAAGAAAGAACGGCATTTCTGGGCATGCCGAACATTAAATACCCTGGTATATTTAGGTAACTTCTTAATGGGAGTATAAAGTATTGTCTGAAGTTAAAAATGATTTCCCAAAACGTAAGTCTTTATTACATCCGAATGTAATGATTTTGGCTCGGATATCTTAGTAAATAAAAAAGTTTTTTATACAACAAAATCAACAGATAGTTTCACAAAATAAATATAAACGTAATAGTAAAAATGCTTTATAAAACTGATGTTCTAAGATTCATAAGGATTGCTGTGATTGCGCAGAGAAACTGATAGATGGATAAGCTGAAATGACTATTCAAACTCGGCTATTCATGCTGATCTAGAGAATATATACATACATATTCCTTCTGAGATCACAAAGAACTACCTCAGTACGTAAACACCTCACAAAAATTATATTATCTAAGCTTAACAATTGCAGAGCCGGATTTAAGCCAGGAATAAAGTACTTTCAATTCCCCTTGTGTAACTAATACATAAAAATAAATAAATAAAAAATAAGTAATACAAACTTAAACAATAAAAATGTCAAGTCAATCTTCCATAATTTAATACATTTGAAAATTGTCTGTGAAATACTTTTCTGGTTTAAAATTTGCGCCAGAAAGACTGACAGCCAAAAGCAGGCTGCTATGTAACGATCTGTTTTTCAAATGAATATAAATCAATATGGTAACCCTAAGAAATCAGCTGCAAATCTGATGTCAGTTTGTTTTGATTTAGTTAGTAGAGTGACCGCTCACATTATAGAAAACAGTTCATTTTTTTAATTTTGTTAATCTGATTTTATTTCCCATATAAATATTTGTCAAGCTGCGTGTTTGCTTACAAAAAATTGATCTCAATATCAAAATCAAATCGAACAAAAGTTGCATTGTGTTATACAGCAATAATATTACCGCTAAGCCGAGTTTCAAAATACTGTTGCATTGTATAAATGTGAAAATACGTAAATAAACCAGCGGCCGTATTCTTTTGACATTTGATACATTTGAAAAACAAAAACCGTTTGGTGTTGAAGCTTTGCGCTAGAGCGTCTTACGATAAAATCACCACTGAAGCTATCGTTGTTATCGATACTTGGTCGATACCAGCACTAATTCTTTCGTTCATTTCATAAGCACGCTGACGCTGCCTGTCGGGTCTAAATTTTAGGATTAATCTCATAAATTGTTGTTATGCTGCACTAGCAACATTTATTGGCTCGTGCACTGTGAAACAGACGACTCGGCAATATCAAATATCGCATTTTCTGTGGCTGCATATCGACCGGAGCAACAAGGGAACTCAATTTTCTCAGCGTGTGCAAATCGGAGGGGCCAACAAAAACAATACATACGAAATTGTTGCAAACAAAGGCAAAGAACGCAACGAAAAGGAAGGAAAAGAAAAGAAGAGAATAGAATATAAAGAAAAAAAACAGGCCACAATTTGATTATTCCGTGTTTGTTTGCTGCGAATGGACGACGTCATTGAGATTAGCGATAGCGAGCGCGAGGAAAGCTTGTCAACATCTGACATGGAAGTGGAACTGCCCGAGGAAGTCGTCGACGGTGAGCAGATTGTGCCAAAGGACGCGGCAACGTAAGTAAACCTAACAGGACACTTGTTCTCCGTTCCGTCGCCCATTCCATTTGTTCTATATTTGTTTTGTTTAACTATTTAATTAATTGGCAATTAATTAATATTCAATTTAGATTGTCAGCATTTGCACAGTTTTGTGCAAGGCCGTCCAGCTGGAAACCAGTTTCTCTTCTCGTGCTCCCATTTGGAGCACCACAAACCTAAAGAGAAACTGGCAACGCCAACGCAGGCGTCCAGCGTTGTTATAATTGGTTCCCTTTCGCCCCTCTCCCGTCCACCATCAGCACCACGGCCAGCAACCCAATTCAATTTGTTTCTTTCTAGAAACAAGTTTTTCTTTTTGCTTAGATTCAAGTGCGCTGAGCTTACGTTAATTACGAAAAAAAAAAACGATGAACTCTGTTGCCAAGGATTTTCTCTTTCTTTAAGAATATATAGAAAAATTAATCAATTTAATGACTGATTTTATTAACATTCGAACTGCAAACGAATATTCGAGAATACACTCAAGAATACACACATATTTCACAACTCGCAAGTGTTTGTCTAATGAAAATAGAAATCAATTCATATCTTTTTGTTGTTTGTTTGTTTTTTGTTTACAAACAATTAGGTGCTCTATATAAACAGTAAACAGCAAATTCACTGCAAGGTGTTGTTCAATGGCAAAGATTAGCAAACCAGAATTATTGACAACTTTTTGCTTATGCAATAGCAGCTGAAAAGGAGTTAAAAACATCAAAAAGTTAAGCTAAAAGTGAGTCAGGAAATGAATTTCTTAATTTTACTCCTTTGCGTGCCACGCCTCGCTGACATTTCCAAATAAATAGAATAAAACCCGCACAAGTTGAACAAATTGTTTGTTTTATTTATTGCGTGTTTTTTTTCCCCGTTTTCTTCCGTTACTCATGCAACCAACAAATGATATTTTTTATTTTTTGTGTCTAGCTGGAGGAGTATCATTTGCGGGGGGAACCCGTTTAACTGTTGAAAATCTTTGCTGTCTGCGATGACTCATGAGTCATCTTTTAGCTGGTAGCCTAACCAGTTAGCTAAGCGTCAAGCCAAATTGGGATGCCACACTTCATTGTATATATGTATTTAGCTAGTTTTATGTAGTAAACTCAAACAAAAGACAGTTTCTCTCTCTGCGATAATATCTTAGTTGCAGCTGCAATGTCTTAATTGAATTGAATTATTGATTTGAAATAAGCGAGAATTTATTGTATGCCACATGTGGCGAAATACTTCCGCTACACATATAAGCTAAGCGTGTAGAACTGATCACCGTTAAGCAAAACAAATTTCCATGTAATTTTCGTTGTTGTTGACCTCAAAAAGTAGTTTAACCCGCACAAAGCCGGGCAAATTTATTTACCATCGAATGTTGTGCTTAAATTCATGGCCAGCAGTGTGTTTCTGCACGCTGCTTGGCTCTCTTCACTAGCATTGAAAACGCTGAGTTTTTTGAACTTGTCGCAGCATGTGTAACACACTCAAGGAAAAATAACCAATGACAACAAATATTTGTATGAAATTTAGATTAGCTCACATCTTATCGTCTTATGCTACTATATATATATTTATGTATATTTAAACTTTCTCTTTTGTTCAAGTTTTATTTGCAAAGTGGCTAAAGCTTAGGTCAAAGTCTTTTTGGGTAATGATCGCTTGTGTTTCACTAAATTCCCAAATGTTCCCAATTAGTGCGCTCTTCGCTATTACAATACACACACACGCACACACATACATCACATACAGACAGCACACACACATACAACACACACATATTGTTTCGATAGCTCTCTCGTTTTTTCGTTGGCTTTTCAATGCATATTTATGTCTGCATTTGCAGTGCGTTTCTGTCATCGATGTAGTTCTCATCGTCGTTCTTTCGTCGGATCGTTGCCGTAGCTAATCACAACCCAAATACATATATACATATACATTATATATATATCTATATCTATATATATGTGTATATATATATAAATATTGGCAAACTAACAATTGTGTTTACTGGCTTTTTCTAGTTAAGCCCACGCCTGCAGATAATACGGCTGATAACTCGTTGTTGTTGTTGTTGTTTTTATTGCTACTGTTGAATACTTGTCGTTATTTGTAGCTTTGAATTAAATGTCGAATAGTAAAGGCAAAATTATAGTTTTAAACACTTGAACAATAAACCCCAATAATAGCTCACAACAAGAAAGTGGTTCAAACAGCTGTGGCAAGCAACGCAAAGACCGAATCAAAAGCAAAAAAAGAATCAAAGCAAACAATCAATCTTTAAAACTAAAAAAAAGAAGCGAGCATCGAGCAGAATTTCGCAGAAAGTGGAAAATGTTTTAGTAAGTTGCGTTACTCAATGTGTACATATATTCACATGCATGCATGTAAATATATACACATATCAACCGACTAAAATAAAACCGCACAAAGTTCTCGGTACTTCGCTGAGGTCGTCGAGTATATATAATTATTTGCATATATATATATATATATATATATCGGACCACGTGTAAATGTGTATAAAGAATTTTTGGCTAATTTTTTGTTGCTCTTAAAAAATTGCAGCATTGAATTATATAAAACTAAATAGTATTTGTTACAGATAAAGTGAAATCTTTTAGGCTAAACCCGAAACTTTGGATGTAGTCTGATCTTTATCTATAAACAGATAAAAACTCAAATTTCTCTTTAGCTCAAATTTTGAATTTGGATGACACAGCTGCATTATGTATATATATATATATATATCAATTTATATATATTTTTGCATTGTTGAATTTTTGGGTGTGTCTTTTATTAATGCAGCATAAAAAGTACATTAAACATGGCATGTGGACACATCTGAACATGTTTATATAGCCAAATTTAAAAAAAGAATTGAGCACATTTGCAAATGATTGATAGATACACATATATATATATATATACAGCAATATGTGTAGATTTTAGTAAATATATATATATAGCAGCAATAACTATGCTGCTCAATTTCTTGACATTTTTATGTAATTCAATTCGTTAATTGCTAAAAATATTAATTGATTAATTTTGTTAATTGTTGTCTGTGGCATTTGCAGCATTGCTGAAGAGAAAAAGAAACTGGGCAACGACCAATACAAGGCACAAAACTATCAGAATGCACTCAAACTGTACTCGGATGCGATCTCGCTGTGCCCCGATTCGGCGGCCTACTACGGCAACCGTGCCGCCTGCTACATGATGCTGCTCAACTATAACAACGCTCTCATGGACGCCCGCAACGCCATCCGACTTGATCCCAACTTTGAGAAGGCCTATGTGCGTGTGGCCAAGTGCTGCCTGGCCCTGGGCGACATCATTGGCACGGAGCAGGCGGTCAAAACGGTTGCCGAACTGGATCCGCAGAGCAAGGCGCTGAGCGGCGAGGAGCAGGCTGTGCAAAAGCTGCGACAGCTGGAGACGACCATACAGAGCAACTACGGATCGCAGTCATATCGCAATGTCGTCTACTATTTGGATAGTGCGCTCAAGCTTGCACCTGCCTGCCTGCGGTAAGTTTTTGACTCACCAAAAAACAAACAATGCGAATAATGAATGAATGAATAACAACAATTTGCTTCCGCTCTGCTCTCATTCTGATAACAGATATCGTCTGCTGAAGGCCGAGTGTTTGGCCTATTTGGGGCGATGTGATGAGGCATTGGATATTGCCGTTAGCGTCATGAAATTGGACAGCACCTCGGCAGATGCGATCTATGTGCGTGGCCTGTGTCTGTTCTACACGGACAATCTGGAGAAGGGCATACTGCATTTTGAGCGGGCTCTGCAACTGGATCCCGATCATCAGAAGTCGAAGGAGATGCGCAGCAAGTGCAAGCTGCTCAAGGAGATGAAGGAGAACGGCAATATGCTGTTCAAATCGGGACGATATCGCGAGGCGCACGTCATCTACACGGATGCCCTGAAAATTGACGAGCACAACAAGGACATCAACTCGAAGCTGCTCTACAATCGCGCCCTGGTCAACACACGCATTGGCTCGCTGCGCGAGGCTGTCGCCGACTGCACACGCGTGCTGGAGCTGAAAGCACAGTATCTGAAGGCGTTGCTGTTGCGCGCCCGCTGCCACAACGATCTGGAGAAGTTCGAGGAGTCGGTGGCCGACTATGAGACGGCGCTGCAGTTGGAGAAGACGCCGGAGATAAAGCGATTGCTGCGCGACGCAAAGTTTGCGCTGAAGAAGTCAAAGCGTAAGGATTACTACAAGATTTTGGGCGTTTCGCGAAATGCCACCGAGGATGAGGTGAAGAAGGCGTATCGCAAGAAGGCAATGGTCCATCATCCAGATAGGCACACAAGCAGCAGTGCCGAGGTGCGCAAGGACGAGGAGCTCAAGTTCAAAGAGGTGGGCGAGGCCTATGCCATCCTGTCGGATGCGCAAAAGAAATCCCGATACGACAACGGACACGACATTGAAGACCAAATGCAAGGTGCTTAGTCCTTTCAATTATACTATCTATATATATATATAAATATATATGCTTTAGATTCTAATTGAATGCTTTTCTTTCCCATTTTGCACAGCCGATTTCGATCCGAATCAAATGTTTCGTTCGTTCTTCCAATTCAGCGGCGGACGCAACTCTTCCTTCAACTTTGAGTACTGAACAACCACAAAAGATGATCCACATCCTGATTAGCTACATCGCCACGTACTTGCGGCAGGCAACTGATGCACAAATTAAAGTCTTTGCATTTTACACAACTACTTTATTTGTTTTTTTTTTTTTGTTTTCTGTCCTAACACAAAATTCTTCAGCGGTTTTTTTTGTATTTCAATTTTGTTTGGCGTTTAGCTTTAAAAAAAAAAAAAAAGAAAAGAGAAACTGATTTAAAGATAACAAATTGTGTAAAATACTTAAATTCTTGGTAACGTTTCGAAGCCTAGTCTATCGAATGGGTTGTTCAAAAATTTGAATTTGATCCCATCATTAATGATGCCGCAGCCTTTTGTGTAACCAATTAAATTTGTTTTAAGCAGACTGGATAAGTTTTATGTTTAAGTTGCAAAATAATGTCTTAGGCAGTTCAAAATAGATACAAAAAAAAATCAAAACAAAAGTTGCAATTGTGTTATATTGAAATATACAGCATTATATGGAAATATATAGTTAAAGTCAATTGTAAAAGTTGTTTCTTCTGCACATTTGGTGGGCATGGTCAATTTGACTACATTTTATTATTGTTTTCCAAATGAAACTCACAATTAAGTTTCTACTAATGGCAATTAAACAGAGTTTTTGTTAGCAACATCTTCATCAAATTTCGATTTCTAATTTAATTTATACTTTACCTTTTCAATTTGCTATCTGCAACTTTAGCATTCCATAGTATTTTTCTTAAAGATTGCAGAACCAGAACCAATAAAAAACCAATCCAAGTTACTAATTTGAAGCAGCGCCATTTCGGAAGACCCCCTTTTGGAACATTGAGAAGACAATTGTAAATTTCTGATTTCGTCTATATTTGCACCAATAAAACACTTAATAAGTTTAAAAAAGACTTTGACATTTGTCTGTGTGTGTGTGTGTGTGTATGTAGTGTGTGTGTGTGTTTGTATGTGTGTGTGTATGTGCAAAACAGTTGACAAACTTACATAAAACGGGATGTTTGAAAAATGTTCACTTTTTTATGTACTCGCCCAAATGTCAACTAAAAAAAAATAATTTAAATTCCTTTTTTTTAGCTAGCCTTTTTGTAGTTTTTTTTTTTATAATATTTACCATCTTTTTCTCTCATTTACATGACTAATTTGCCCATTTTCTGTTTGTATTTATAAATTAATTTAATGTTTTTCATATCAGTTTTTTTGTTTTGTTTTGTTTTGTTTTGCTTTGCATATCTTAAACTACTTAAACATTATGCAAACATTATTATGACCTAAAAACATGCACGCAAAAAATTTACAATAATTAAATTACAATATTTATTTATAATAGTGTATTTTGTGTATTTTTTTTTTGTTGTTGTTGTTTTTGTTTTGTTGGTTTTGGTTTTTTAATATTTTATTTAACGAACTAGTGACGACGTCATGCATAGCTTTAGTTATACATTCATATTCATACATTCACACAATTTATACATTTTATTTTTATTTTATTTGCTTCTTTTTTATGTTTTTCACGTTTTTTGTTTTTTGTTTTCTTTATTTTATTTACTTTTTACATACGTTTCTTGTATAGGTTGGTATCAGTTGCTGTATTGATTGGTGTTGGTAAGTTAACGACCAGACTTAAGTGACTACAAAAACATTTTTGTTTCAAAATAAGGTACAATGATATATAGCTTTACATAAATATATAAAAACGAGTAAGAGTGTATATAGTCGAGATTGGCCGACTAGCACATATCCTGTACCCAGTGTTGCTGTACCAAGTAACTAACTTAAATATCTATATCTATATATATATATATATATATATATATATGTATATAAAAACACAGACATTCACAAATATACAGAGAATACTCCATAGAATAATATACTTTAGAAAAGTGTTTTCTTTTTCTTTTTCCTTAGATACCAAAAATAAAGGCTAAACCTGTACACATTTAATTGAATTAATCGACAATCGATATTAATCGACAATCGATATTAATCGACTCTTTACAGACAGATGGATAAATTAATTGTATTATACATTTTAATTGGGTACAGGATATATGTAAAAAAACATTGATATATTTATATATATATTTAGGTGTTTATATACAAAAGTGCAATGATTTAACCCCTGGAACCCTTTACACGGCGAGCTTATGGATCTACCAAATTCAGCACTTTCCCATCAAGGGATTCTTTTTATTTATAGTTTTCTTTTTGTTTTTCTTTTTTTGTTTGTTTGTCTTTTTGCTAACGTGGACTTTAATTAAATAGTTGAACTTCTTATTAGCTGTGCCCACAAGCCGCGTTTTTTGTTATTCTTTTGAGCCTAGTCAATATGGCCGGATGTGTGTGTGTGTTAATAATGGGCCCCACCCACCCCCCTCGAAAACCCCACCCACTCCCCTCTAATCCTCTAACCCAACATGGCAAATGCTTTTCCTGCAAGTAGAGTAGCTTTTCTATGTATATATGTATGTATGTATGTATGTATGTATGTATATTTCTTGTAGGTGGTATACATTAGTATCTATCTAGATACATTTATGTATTTTTGTAAGTAATACTGAGATTCTGTCAGTTAGTTGTGGTGCTATTGTTGTTGAATGAACATTTTTTCTCTCACAAAATTAGTAACTGTTTCGGCAAGGACACTTGCTGCCTTGACATCCTTGTAGTTGTTGCTTGTCTCATGTCGCATGTCGCATGTTGCTTGTTGCATGCTCTTCATTCTAAGTAACGCTGCCCCCAAATGTGCTTTGTACCCTGTTCGAACTAAAAGTAAATTGTACTGTTTTTCTCCGTTTTCTGTTTTCCGCGATACCCTTGCAGAGAACAGTTTAATTTAATTTAGTTTAATTTAATTGCATTTCATTTTTTAAGATGTCAAATGAAATTCTGCTTTTTTTAAGAATTAATTCTCATTTACAGCTGACTTCTGCAAGGATATTTCAACTTTAAGTTTTGCTTTGCTTTGTTCTGTTTTTTTTTTTTTAGTTTTCGTGTGGCTAGTTTAGAGTTGGAATTACGTTTACAGTTTTGTTTTTATTTGCCATGTTGCAGCAAGCCGACTCCCAGTCCCCAACTGCAGTCCCAACTGCAGTCCCTTCGCTGTTGCGGATACCCTTACCCCAATATATATTTAAATCTAAGCCTAGACTACGCGTCGTCCACTCCGCGAGAGCGTCAGCCAGTGTCACTTGGGCTGGATGCAGGCGGTTCGCTCCAGTTCGTTGAGCTGGCCAAAGTAGAGCACCTCGCCGATCAGCTTCTCGGCAATGATGCGCTGCGTCCGATCCATTGTGCGCAGCTTCATCGACACATTCGATCCGATGAAGTCGCAATCGTCCCGACTGAGACTCTCCGCGTAGAGTGCGGCTGCTGCCGCCGCCGCTGAGCTGGCATCTTGGGCGGAGGCGCTGCTCTTGATGTGGCCGGGACTGGGTGCCGATTCGGTGGCCTCATCGTTATCGACATCGCCATCCGCATCGGACATGCTCTCCCTGGAGCTGAGCAATGAGTTCATGAGCATGTGGCCCGCCGCGCTCGAGGCTGCCGTCAATTTGCGCATATTTAGTGGCATGGAGGCGGCGGCTGCTGCTGCTGCTGCGGCTGCCAATTTGGCGCTGCTGCTGCGCGGTGGCAGTACGAAGGCGCCAACAAAATTCGCCTGCGCCTTGGCCTGGGCGACGCGCAGATCCTGCGCCATATCCGTATGCAGGCGACTCTCCTCGCCGGCCGAACTGTAGGAACGATGCGACTCCGGCGGCGGCGGCGGCGGTGCTGCATTAAAGTATTCGACCAGCTCCTGCTTAATGTCCAGCTCATCCGGATGATGATGTTGCTGCTGCTGCTGCTGCTGCTGCTGCTGTTGATGCGGATGCTGATGTTGATGCTGATGCGGATGATGATGCTGGCCATGGTGCAGCTGGAGCTGCTCGTGCGCATGCCGCGGCGTCGTTGCACGTGCCGCCGCCGGACTCGATTGCAGCAGATGATTCTTATGCGCCTCGTGCATATTCGTGTTGGGTATGGGACTGGAGCCGGTCTCGCTCAGCGCCACGCCCACAGCAGCTGTGGGCTCACTGCTCATCGCATCGACCATCGGCTCGTGTGGATTACTGATGCCGCCGCCTTCCAGGCCACCGCTGCAGGGATTCGCATTGGCATTGGCGGAGTGCGGCGAGCGTCGTTCCACTTTGGCTGCCAGCTGGCCGAGTGCTGCTGCCGTCGCCTCGTCCCTCATATTGTTGTTGTCCTCGTTGTCCGACGTGTCGATCGTCTTGTGCGGACTGGGCTGGAAATCGCTGCTGCTGCTGCCACCGCCACCGATGCAAGTGTAGGCTGTGCTGCTCACGCCACCAGCGTACGACATTGGCAGTGAGACGCGCAACTGTTGTTGTTGCTGCTGCTGCTGCTGCTGCTGTTGTTGGTGTTGTTGCTGTTGTTGCTGCTGGGGATTGGGTAGTGCGCCGCCTCCATCGCCTAACGCTCGAATGTTGGGCGGCGAGAATTGACCCGATGTGTTCCAGCTGTCCAGCTGCGTTTGACTACTCGCTATCAGCAGGGGTATGTTGAGGCCCATCTGCAAGACAAGACAGGACAAGACAAGATGGGTTAACAAACATTAGTCGAAATTCTGTTTCTTCTCTGATTGATTTGTCAGCGATATTCCAAATATAGTCGTTGCCCTCCTGCTGCTATCAGGCCCAGCCTAGTCTTGAATGAATGACTGAATGAATGGAATAAAAGATCAGCTGCCAAGTCATAAAATTCACAGCATGATCGAGCAGTTTTATACACTGCGCCTCCGATCCCACATAAGGCATATTTATTCCTATCAAGATATATAAGATCTAGCTCTGAAAGTGAGTTAAGCTTATTATTTATAACAATTTACACATTTTATAGCAAATATAATAGTTAAAATTGTGGCACGTTTATTTATAGTTATTATATTTGTTATAGTTAAGCTTATTTATTATATTTGTTATAATGCAGTTGCTTATCCTTTTCATATTATAATTATTATTATTATTTTTATCAGATCTATTATGTTCTCCTCTGAAGCAATAACTCTTCCATTAACCCTTATTCTTGCACAAGTGGATGCATCTGTGTTGAGTTGAGGATTTCTATATCTTCAGTTTACAGTTTAGTTTGGAGATTACTCAGTCTAAACAGTCCAACTATTCTAGGCCAACTGTTGTACGACTTTGCAGCCTAATCAAGGCAACAGTTTTCGAGTATTTACTACAAAAATAGGCAGAAATTCCATATTTAAAAAAAAAGATTATCTTTGAATGAAATTAAGTAAAAATACAACTAATTTTGAGTCAGTTAAGCACAGAAAAAAAGAAGAAGACTAAGCAAGCATAATCAAGAAATAAACATTAGCAGAATTCTTATCTGCTGCGCATCCCGCTTAAATCCAAATCAAAACAGACAAAGCTAACAGCTTTAGTCTTAACCAATCACACACACACAGACACACACACACACAGCACACAGAGCACACATTCAAGAATGTGGCAAGGTGTTGGAAATGTGCAAAATCATATTTGATGAGCATGTTTGTTTCGTACAGTTTTTGTTGCTGCTGCTGCTGCTTCTGCGCCAACAGCAGTTATGATTAGGCGCTGATTGTTGTTGTTGTTGCTGCTGCTGCTGCTGTGATTGTAATTCATAGTCTCAAAATGGCACTTGTTACAGCAATGATTGTTGTATTTGTTGAATATAATATTAACACTTCTTTATGTTGCTATCGAACGACGCGTCGACGACGACAGCGCAACTCGCATTGTCGAAAAAATTCTAGCGGCGTAGTAAATGTTTTTTTTGCTTTTTTTTTTTAAAGCAGCAGAACAGAGAGAGCAAGAGAGCGAGAGAGAGAGAGAGAGAGCGGCGCCAGCAGCAACACAGAGAGCGATGCAATTTGTTGTTGCTATTGCATATTTATGTTAGTATGCGTGCAAGAGAGAGAGACAGAGGGGGAGTGAGAGACAGTAATGAAGAGAGCATATCGGTGAGCGACACTTAACGGTTCAAAGATTGTATTTTTAATTATACACTGTTACCGCACAGCAATAGTGTTATAACATTAAATACAAATTTTTTTTTTAAATTGGTAAATTTGAATTTTTAACATCGTCAAACATTTCTTTGATTTGTTTTGAATGCAAAATCTACAATTTGTGTGGTTTTTTTGCTTAAATAATAAACTTTAATACTTGTATATATTGTAGGGATTACATGCAAAGTTTTTTTTTGCAACACTCGATCACTTTAATCTGGTTGTGAGCAGAGTATTGCACAGTCGATCATGCCAGAGCACAATATTCTGACTTGTTTTCATTCGGGCAGTCACGAAAACATCTACAACTCATTACGAACGGGAAATATGAAAAGCTATCCAGCAGCAGCAGCAGCAGTAGCAGCAGGTTCATTAATATTAACAACCTACCCCACGTTGATGATGGTGGGGAAATACGTACGACAAATATGCTAATGTGATCATCGATGATCATTCTCTCGCTCTCGCTCTTGATCTCTCTCCCTCTTTCTCTTCTCTTGCTGATTCGTCGGGTCTTTCTGCTACTGGCGCCTAGAACTTTCTACGATTCACAAATACAACTGTCGAGGGCTATTTGCTGTTGTTGTTGCTGTTATTGTTGTTGTTGATTTTGTCGTTTGCTTTTTTCTTCTTGCCTTTGCTGTTATTTTTATTGCTGCAGCTGTTTGTGTTGTTGTTTAAGAGTATTTGGAGACAATGTATGTGTGTGCGTTTGAGTGTGTGCGTATGCGTGTCTGACTTGTTTGCGTGCCCGCAGCCCAAACAAAAGTTAGCTCTCTCTTTCTCTCTACCTCTCTCGCACTCTCATTCTGTACTTTGTTGAGCATATGTGCTTGTATATATGTGTGTGTACATTTGTACTCTTGCTGATTGTGTATGTGTGTGTGTGCGTGTGCAACTGAAAAATGTAAACAAACTGATTATCATCCAATCCAATGAATAAATAACACACACTCTACAACAACAACAACTACGATATAAACCACGTCAACTATTCCTTTTAGCACTCCGTACAGACCCCCTCTACCCAACCAACCCAGACCCCTCCCCACTCCCCACTCCCACCCCCTTCTCTATTTCACTCTTTTTTTTTGTCAGCATGAGTGTCGCTGCTCACGCAAATGTTTATGAAGTACGATACGATATTTTTGTACTCACACACACACTCATACACACAGACTCAACTGAAACACTAACATTAATGAAACTCCATAAAACCGCAGCTTGTGCAGCGTAAATGTGAATGAGCATCGTCGTCGCCTTTGTGTGTGTGTGTGTGTCTGTGTGTAATCATGCATTCCCTTTCCCCTACACATCCTAAAGCAATGAGTATTTTTAAAGGGGATTTACACACACACACAGCTAGAGGGAGGTAGCTGTAAAATTAACAGCGAAACATTGGAAAAGTTAGTTGACAATAAAAAGAGTTGCCAACTAAGCGACGTAAAAATTGTTTATTGCCATATCGTACTGGATATAGTTATAAACTATAAACATAACTTTAATATTGCCATTGCCTGCTGTCTGGCATATTGCAATTAAGCTCGAATCGAACCCGGATCAGCGATTCTCAGTTGCCTGAATGAACGGGTAGCTCGACTTAGTAGAGGGGATACTACCAAAAGTTACTTTAAAATATAAAAACAATAATATTTGTATAAAAATATATTCCACGATTTGTGGGTGATTATGATTTTGTACTATGTTGATGATATCCTTAAGAGATCAACACCAAAGTAATTCTTCCATTTAAATTTCTGCTTCAATAAATTTTTTAAAATCATTTAACATGAATAATGGTATAATTTGAAGCAAACGTTTTTAGAAAAATATCAAATTAAAGCATTAAAAAAAAATGCTCATTCAATTTAAGGGGATTTACCGAACTTTCTACTATTTCCCTGCTATTTTTAACCAATTGCTTTATGTTCCTCAACACATCTCTTTTGTACCATTTCTGCTTGCACGTGTATATATGTGAGTATGGATATGGATATGTGTGTGTGTGTGTGTGTGCATCGGCGAACATGTCGTTACGTCCTTCAGCCATTTAAAAAGACACCCCCCCAAATTGTTGCACCTTCGCACTCACACCACAATAACCCAAATTCTTGCAAAACTTTCACAATAACAAGCCACTCCCTTTGTGTACCATGGATGCCCATTAAAATTGGGTGAATGGGTATATGATAAATATGTAGAAATGGATGCAACAAGCCAAATGATTCCAAAAGATGCATATTCCGCGTATCTTTCTCGATAACTCTTAATGTTTTGCTTCAGATTATGTCTTTAACCTATAGAAAGCTAGCTGTTCCTATGCCTTTTAGGGCACGGAGTTTAGTGAAAGTAAAACATTTGAAATGATAGCGAAAAAAATAAAGAACTGTAACATTTACTATGATTCAGATTGAAATAGTATGAAAACATATTTTCGAGTTTCGTAAAATGCATAACAATTGTTACGGGGTATGTTGTAGTCGAGGCAGCTCAACCGGGAGCACCTTGGCCCCAGCACCCTTCAAGTCGATTTCCAGCCAGGCTGGCAACGCTGCGCGCACAGCTAAACAACTTTGCAATGAATGAGTAAACAAAAACAAACGCTGACGTCGCAGTTGCCATCGCGGTCGCGGTCTCTGTCTCCGTCGCAGCTGCAGTTGCAGTCGCAGTCAGCGACTGCTTTACTGCTGTTGTCGGTTGCATTGCTTGCTTTTGGTTTCTGCTGCTGCTGCTGCCGCTGCTACTTTGACTATTGCTGCATATTTGCCTTGCACTTTTCAGACCTCGCCTCGCCTTACCACCTCACCTCGCCGCAGGGGACTAAAAGCAGGCATTTTAAAAAGCGCATGCGAGAGAAAACAACAACAACAACGATGAAAATTACAGACGCATCGCAGCAACAAAAACAACAACAACAGTTGCTGCTGACTGCTCCAAGCTACAAGGACAATAGGAAGCAGGCGTGCATTTTATAAACACAAACAAACTGTAAAATGTTGGGTGGCTTTGGGGTGGGGGTGGTGGGGGGTGTGTTGGTGTACTCAACGCGTGTGGCGGGCATCGCTGCCAACGTCGCTGCTTTGGGCGCCAGCTACGCCAACATATTATTATTGTTGTTGTTGTTCTTGTTGCTGTTGCTGTTATTCGGTGTCTTGGAGAAAATGCCGCAACAAAACAGTTGAGGAAAAACCATACATACATACATATTTACGCATATATGCTTGTACATATGTTTATATATATTTAACGAGGGGCGGCATTTGGTGGGTGGGTTGGTTGCGTGGGCAGCTGCTGCTGCTGCAGTAATAATGGCGGAAAAACAAAAGCACGGCACTCACCAACTGCGGAGGTAACGGTAAATAAGTGCAGGTAAGCAAGCAAGGTGCGAAATCTTTTTGCAAAGTGCACCCAAAAGAAGAACAGCATTTTCCAGTTGTGTTCCGGCTAATAAATGAAAAATTCTACGAAAAAAAAAATTTTAGGCAACACAATAAACAAAAATATCAGGTCGACTTGCGGGAAAACAAAAAAAAAAAAAACAGGTGCCACGCCCGCTCAGTTAAACGCCCAAGTTTGTTGTATTAACCGAATAAAATTGCATTCATTTTGTAGAAACAACAGCAAAACAGTAAATGAAAACAGCAGTAACTATAACAATACTGCTGCTTGGCATTTTGTTTTGATAACTCTGGCAAACAGAAGCAGCAGCAGCAACAGCAGCAGGAACAACAACAATAACAACAGCAGAAACAACAATAACAAGAGCAGTGGCAACAGTAGCACAGAACGAATGAAAACCACAGGCCCAAGTCAAAACAAGTGTTGACTTCCTAATTGCTCGACTAGGATATATCCTGTGTTAAATACCACACACATGATATGTAGATATACATATAGATAGTTTAAGTTGCATTTTTTGTAACATGACAAAATTCCATGACTGGATATCTTTTTGTAAATACAAATTTAAATAACAAGCACATGCTATGTAGATATTGTTTCAGTATATTTTTTTTTTAATTATTCCATAACTCTTCATAACTCGATAACTCTATGTAATTAATTGTGTAAATAAGTGCATACCTAATAAGATATATCCTACAGGGTATAAAAAAAGTACACAAGGAAAACGAACAAACGAATCACAATCGCAACACACACACTAACGCACATGTAAATACATACACACATATATACGTGCGAAGTGTGGGGAAGGCGGAGCAAGAGAGGCCACTAGGCAACCACAAAACAAAACATTACAAAAACAACAATAACAACAACAACGGCAACGCTGGCGCAAGTGCTACGCGCATTTCGCCGTGCAAAACAAACATTTCATCACAGACAAAAACAGAGCATGTGAGCGACAACGGCGACGAAATGTCAGCAGAGAACCCGCCTCGCTTGCCCACCCACACCCGCTCCCACAACACGAAAGCTTGCTTGCCTGGCGCGACTAAGCAAATACATATAAACCGCACATACTCACACACAACCTACATATTTAAATACACATGTATGTGTTGTCTGCGTGTGTGTCTATGTGCACAGATTCTCGCGTAACTGAGGGCAATACCTCACGCACACAACGCCAAGTTCCTTAGAAAAATTTATGCGTAAAATTTTAATTCTGTTTTGATCGTCAATAACAAAATACATATGTACATGGGCAAACATACACACACACACACCTACGAATCAGACAGAGCGAGAGAGAGAGAGAAGCAAATGTGATTCTCTCTCGGTGTCGGCAGAAAAAATAGCAAGTCACTTGCGCACATGGCGTTCCGTTTGTCTCTGTGTTGTTGGCGTATTCAGCTTAAAACACAGTTAACTTTGCGCTTTTGATTGAAATTAACACCAGAAAGGCAAAAACTACACAGAATATATTAATCCGAATTTTGCATTACTTTTGAAGCGCTTTGAATGCGCTTCTTTCTGACTGTATTTTGACAGTATTTTTGTAAACAAAAAACCTGCTGCTTCTGAATTAAATATAAGCATTGAAATTTATTTAACAATCAATTTTCGATTCGTTGTGTGCAAAAGAAAACAACAAATGAGCTGGTTAAACAGCATTTGTATTCAATTTATGCATTATTAAAGTGTGAATCTGTTCAAGGATTTTCAATTTAATCAATTGCAATTGAAAACAACTTGATAACCCATCAGAGCAGCTGCCTTGTAGATTTTGTTGTCATGGCAAAAATAGCACCTTGGTCAGAGAGGTGTTAAAGGGCTGTTTGGCTAGTCAATGGTCGCCGACGCTTTTTGGCTGTTTGTCACTCACTCTCTCACTCACTCAGACAGTCACTCAGTCAGTCACTCAGACAGTCACTCAGTCAGTCACTTGTTTTGTTGTGTTTGTGTGAAATGCTTACGCATTCGGTTATTTTTTGCCCCGCTTACTCACCGCTCCAAAATATTTCAGCTCTTTGGTTTTGATGCGTCTGTGCTGCGATGCGGGCGTTGCTGCTCCAATTGTTGTTGTTGTTGTCGTTGTTGACGCTGCTGCTGTCGCACACCCAATGGCAACGCCGGTCGCACCGCCATTTGCTGCCGCCGCCGCCGCAATAGTGCTGCTCTCGTATGCCGCCGCTGCAACGGCTGCAGCAGCCGCCAGTCCATTGAGGCCGTTGTGGGTTGTGCTGCCCGACGAGGAGGCGGATGCGGATGAGGAGGTGGCGAGTGCGGCAACTGTGGCACTGCCGGGCAGTCCGCTCAGACTGCCACCGCCGGCTTCCATAAAGTCGAATCGCTTGAAGGCATACCACTTGGACGGATTCGGCTGGATGCCCTGATATATTTTCACAAACATCTTGTGCTTCTCGCGCCTGTACTGTGTGAGCAGGACATTCATCTTGCGCTCCACCTCGGCCTTGCTGCAGCCAAAGCGATCCGCTATCTCTGACCACGCCCGAAAGCGGCACAACTTGTCCTTGTACTTGGGATCGGCACGATTCCACAGCTCTGTGTGGCAGCGATACTGTTCGATTAGCTCTAGCGCATCGTCGTTGGTCCATTCCATGATTTTAGTTGAGCTATCTCCGCCGTCACTGCTGCTACCGCCGCCAGACCCGATGGCCAGGCCAATAGCCGAGTGGCTAGTGTAGCTCGGCAATGGTATAATGTGTGCCTGGTCCCGATGCTGATGCTGTTGGTAATGATGATGCTGATGATGAAAATGAGGCGAGTTTTGGACGGTTGCAGCTGCTCCGGCTACAAAGCTCTCTGGATTGAAGTTCATTTGCTGTTCCAAGCAAAACTCTCCCTCTCCCTCTCTCTCTCTCTCTTTCTGTCTGTCTGCCTCTTTTTCACTCTGTTAACTTGGTGGGTTGTGTAGCGCTGAGCTTTTGTTTGGCAGTCACTCGCTTTTAATTAGCTTTTTGAGTTGTACTCCTTTTGTTGCTTTGTTCCTTGCTTCCTTTTTGTTTTGGTTTTTGTTTTCTTTTTGTTTGTGTTCGCGAAATGCACTCAAATTAACATTTGATGTTCTGATTTTCGGTCATTTATTCACATTCCGACACTGTAATCGAGCGAAATAAGTCGAATTTAGTATTTTGTTTGTTTAAACTTATAGATAAATCACATTTTTGGGTTTCCAAATATAGTCAAGAGGTGTTAAGTGTTTCTTGCACGCTTTCATTCAGCAAAGACATGTCGATCAACACCGAGCCAAAATAGGTGACTTCTTTTCTGATCCTGAATAAGATTCCAATAAGCGTTTTTGCAATTTTTAGTGCATTACATTTTGCATTTGTTTTGTTTTGTTTTTTGTTTTTTAGCACACGTCAATGTTTGGAATTATGAATAAATACATATTAATGTACGATATGTAAATTAAGTGAAATACATCAGTAGCACAATCGGCGCAATGCACACACAAATACATATTTTGTGTAATTGTGAATTTAACTTAACGGAAAAATTGCGACGCTGCGTTTTTCTTTGGCATGAATTAGCAACATTTGTCGTACGACTTTTCGAAACAGGCGCTAAGAAATTCTCCTCAGTGAATACAAATACGCGTGTGCAAATGTCACAATTCATAGCACAAATAGCAACAACAGCAAGAGCAACAACTACAACAACAACTACATCGATAACAGTCTAGTTATTCACAATAGACGGAAGCTATTTCACATAAAACACACACGCACACACATGCACACAGGCGGGCACACACATACACACACACACACACACGGACACTGAGTGAGAGCAGGGACACGTGCGTTTTCATTCGCACACATTGCGCGGCTGCCTATGCGGCATCTCGTTTTGACATCAATCTTTGTCGCCCGATTTGCTTCCTGGTAAGTTGTTCTTCTTAACACATTCACACACACACACACGTGTATATATGTATATATATATTTAACTTTTGCACACATTTCGTTTCATTTCACTTAATAAATGATGTCGTTAGTATATGTATTATTTATTATTGCCTTTGTTTAGACAATTTGCGCAGAATGTAAATGCTGCTGCGCAAACAGCTGGATGAATCATAACAGTAAACGAATGCACAAGTACACACATACACTCACACGCACACACACACACATGCACATAAGATTCGCACAAAGAATGAGAACTCAAACTCAGTGCACATCCCGATCTTTTTTTTTGAGTTTGCCGTCTTTTTGAAAAACAAAATGTTTTTTATTTTTATTTTTTTTGGTTTTTTTTTAGTTCATGTTTAATTGTTAGCGTTCACTTTGTAGACGCGACGCATTTTTTGTTGCTATTTTTAGCTGTCGATTTTTAATGGCATTACTTTTGGCACTATTCTCTGTTTAACAAATAAGCTTGTTCACAATTCTGTAGGATTTTTCCTTTTTGAATATTATATTATTATTTGATGGGTTTTGGCATATGTGCGGCCTTCATAGATTTTAAAGTAGCACAGTTTTGAGGGATTGACTTGGCTAAGTTTGGGTTTTTCTGCATACGCTGTTGTTATTGTTGTTGTTTCTTTTGATTGTGTTTACAGCATTGGGGCTTTTCCACAACATTGTTTGCGTGTAATCAATCGGCATTTTTTTTGCGTGATTCAAAAATTGGGTTTTTTTTATGCTTCCAGAACGGTTTTACGGAGCGAAACTAGTTATTTTATTTATTTTTCAAAATGTTCATTAATGCTATGCATTTATTTTGATTTTATGTTTAAGATTTGCTTCTTGTTTTTCTGAATTTTGTTTTTGTGTTTCACTTTATTTTGATTTTTGCGTTTTGTTTTTCTGACTTTTGTTCAGTTCTAAACAAAACAACAATTTAATTTGCGATGATAACTTATTACGCACAATAAGTAATGAACATTCCGTATTTTTTTTCACATCCAATGAGTATTCCAACGTATTAATCCTAAAAAGTTCGTTAACAATTTGAAACAGTTCATATTAATCGTTTTTGTCATGTGGAAAACACCAACATGAAACAACAACGTTTATGACAATTTGCATAAAAATTCACAAGCAAACACACATTTTTTACCCGCCTTCCACTTCTGTCATTTTCGAAAATAAAAAAAGCACTCATAGAGAGGCAAACAAATAATAAAAAAAAAAAAAAACACACACAACGCAAAAAGTAAACAACATAAAAATCGGATCAAAAACTTAAAAATACATTTCAAGGCGCGTAAAAAAGCAAACAGCCACACACACACACATGCACGCACACACACACGCACACACGTGTAGGTAGAGGCAAGTAAGTGAAATAATATTGAAATTATTCTATAACCTATATATTTTTTTAGACTGATGCGTACTTTTCACTTAACACATTTAAATGCACAATTTGTGGTTGTACTTTGGCATTTCAGTTTCGAAACTGTAACAAAGCCGTTTCTCCTTGTACATATTAGTTTTTCCGTTATTTGTTCAGCAAACAACACACACAATAACAATAACAATAATAACAACAACAACAGGAGTGGCAGCAGCAGCAGCAGGCAGAGGGCTGCTGTGTTTATCGCATCTCGCCTCCCTCGCACTTGCTCACTTGCTTGCTGACTGGCGAGAAGCACCGAAGAGCGATGTTACCGTTAGCGCGACTTTCTTCTGCGCGCCCAAAAAAACTCGTACTCTTTCGGATACACACAACCGTTCGCGAACAGCGACTGCTAACGTCTGAATCTGAACTGTGCGTTGCTTTTTCCCGACAAACACTGACAAACTTATCGAAATCGATTTGTAACGAACCTACAACTGCGACAGAGACGGAGACGGAGACTGAGACTGAGACTGCGACGCGTCGCTGGCCGGGCTGCGTATTGAAATGAAATTTCTCGGTGGACGTTTGAATGAAACGAGCGCAACGTACGCCACACATATATACACACACACACACATACATACATATAAAATACAATACACATAAGCACAGAGAACGAACAGACAGCGCTATCACTGCGCTGCTGACGTCTGCTGCGGCAGAGCAGCCACGTTCGGTAAACAGTTGTTTCGTGGAAAAACAAGCCGAACATCATAATGAAGTTGCTGTTGTGAAATTGTACGGTGCTTTGTCATGCTTAAAAAACAACAGCAACAACAGCGGACGATCTGAGTACGCGCCAAAACACAAAAACGAGGGCAGCCACAATTGTTTTTGGATTAATTCGACTTCTGTCATTATATCTGTAAATGTCTATGTATTTGTATACATAACTGTATTTTCATTTTTTAAATCAATTTCTAAAATTATTAGCTTGTTAACTATGACATATATTACTTACAAATATACATGTTTATATGTTTCTATTGTGTATATTGTGGTAATGAATGCTTGACAAGTTGTGAAGCACACGGGGCAGCCCTCGCACAAACTCTTCTTGGCACCAACACATGCGCAGCGAGTCAAACAAACAAATAGAATGCGAAGCAGAAATGGCAAAAAATTAAACAAACAAGTAGACAGGAGCGGTTCAGGTTTGAATCCAGACGATAGGGCAGCGGGTGGCGGCTGTCGCGAGGCTGTCGAGTTGAACGAACGAGGGCAGAAAAATAACGCTACAAAAAAGGTGCGCGCCAATATCGAAAAATTGTTCTACTACGTCGTAGTAAAATTTCGAAAGGTTAATAGAATTTCGCCTCAATCTGCCATTGCTTAGTTATTTGTTTTTGTTTAGTTGTGTTTGCTCGTTAGCAGAGCGATAGGAAGGGAAGTGGGCAAAAGGAGAGGCAGAGGGAGATGGCAGTTGGATGTGTGACTGCCAGTGCCAGGCAGGCAGGCAGGTGCCGCGCTCTACGTTCGCTATCGCCCCATTCAGCAGCTTTCTCACTCGCCACAACGCGCTGCTTTGCTTGCTTGCTTGCTTGTTTGTTTGTTTTTCGTGCCGTGTTTTATTGTTGCTGCTGTTGTTGTTGTTGTTGCTGTCTCTGTTGTTGTTGCTGTTGCTTGGTGCGTAGTTTTTACGTTCGTCATCGTTGGTTTGGTATTTCCGTCTTCTGCTAAGGCTGACGACGCTGATATATATACATATATATATATAGATGCATGTGTGTGTGTGTCTGTATGTATTTGTCTGTATGTATATTTGTCTGTTCAAATGTTAATATATAAATAAGTACAATACAATTATATTTATTTACAAATAGCAGATATATGCATATATTTTATGTATGTTTATGTACAGCATATTGCATGCTGTCTGAATTAATATTAAATTATATACAATCCAATTCTCTCGAGCAACATTTTGAATCATTAAACAATTTAATTCTTTAATATTTACTCAATTTCTTGTTGGCATAAAAATAATATAGAATTCTGCACTTAACCGCTTTCGATGAACGAAATAAGATGTCAGCTACTGTATTTGTGTCGTAAATACACACACACAGACACACATACAAACATACGCATACTATTCGCTGGTTCTCCTTGAATGTCTCTTATAGTATTTTGCAGTTGTTGCTGTTGCTGCTGTTCTACAAACAACATGCATTTGTATGTATGCACATGTGTACATACAGTAATAATTTAAATTGTTATTGCTTACGTTTCAGTCAGCAGCGGCAGCAGCAGCAGCGGCGGTTTTGTTTTTGTAGCTGACCGTCGCCGCTGGTGGCAAAGTGCATTGCGTTTTCACTCTTTGCGTGGGAGGCGTTGGAGCAGTTGTTGTTGTTGTTCTTGTTCTTGTTATTCTTTTTGTTGCTCATTCTCTCGTGCGCAAGCTCTCACGTGCGGCTGTCCAAGCGACTGAACGACAAAACATCATTGCTCTCTCTCTCTCTCTTTCTCTCGGTTGTATTTTTCTTATTTGCTCTTATTAGAATTTCGTTATTACGCATAACTAACTGTACAAGGGACGAGGTTGATGTGATTTTTATAATTTCTCGGCAAATGATTCATTTTTTATTTTTAATTATTCCAAAAAAATATTTGCATTTGCGTTTTACTGGAAATTGGTTTACCAGTAATTTTAAAAATTTTAAGCACTTTTTAATTAATTAGTATTTCCAAGAATTATTTGATTTGGTAAAACGTAGTTTTAACAAAACGTAAATTCGACCCACTGTGGCATTCAAGCCATGTAAAATGCTAATTAGTACGAATTCTCAAAGAAGCTTGCGCGTTTTCAAATAAGTTTCAGTTCAAGTGTGGGTGGTGGTCACTAGGCTGAATCATGTTTGACAGGGACGAAACAGTCTCTGCCGGTTGCCGACGCGGCAAACAAACACTTGTTTGCACAGGAGCGCCAATGTGGCGAGTGACCGACTGAGAGAGAGAGAGGAGAGAGCGGAGAGCGCACACGCCATTGCCGTGCAATCAAACACATGTATGTACACACATACATATATATTTATGAGAACATTTGCAACTAGGAAGCGTTGTCAACGGTAGTGAGACGCGAGCAGTGAGGAGCGAGCAGCGCAGTCGCTGCTTGTTTACTAAGTAGGTGCGTGGGCGCGGGACAGAGAGAGAGAGAGAGAGAGGTAGGCAAAGGCGTGTAGAAATTAAGTCGTGTGGGGGTGGCGGCAAAGAGACCTGACCCGAGCAACAGCCAAGTCAGGCCAAACAGACGTATGCCGACGTCGACGCCGACGCCAGCTGTGATGTTGACGACGCGTCACGACGTTAGCGTCACTGAAGGTCATTATGCCGACGTTGCCGTCGCTGCTTCTTTTGAGCATTTTGCGCTGTTTGTTTTTTATTGTTGGACTTCGGCTATGGAATTGAGTAAACATCAGTGGCAGCGACGGTGACGCAGGCGGCAACGGCGACAGCGACGCTGACAGCGATGGCGATGGCGACAGCAACAACAACAAAAGCAACTCAGGCATTCCAAGTAAACAAAGTTGTTTTTTTTTTTGAGCCAGCCCCTGGCAGAGGCAATGCAAGAAAGTTATGCAGTGGAATGGGTAGGTGTTGGTGTGAGGCAGAGAGACAGAGAGTTAGGGCAAGAGAGAGACCGAGAGAGAGAGAGAAAGAGAGAGGGACAGCGAGCGAGCGAGAGAGACAGAGAGAGAGAGAGAGCAAGCAGACTGACGAAAGCAGGGCTAATGAAGATGAGCCTGATGTGTTGTTTCGTTGTTATTGTTGTTTCGTTGTTGCCGCTGGTCGCTTTTGTTGCTGAGCTACAAAAATATGCAAAAACGACAACAACAATAACGGAGAGAAATATGCAAGGCAGCGGAATACGCAAATAGAAGCAATGAACTTAATTATTTGCTGCTGTTGTCGCAAAGCTTAGCGAAAGGGAAGGTGAGCGAAATAAATACAAAATATATATATATATATATATATATATATATATATATATACATATGTATGTATGTATGTACTTACATATATTCGTGTACAATAAATATATATTTATAAGTTGTATGTATTTTACACATTTATAAATTGATATCTCAAAATAGCCACATAAAATAGGAGATTCATTTAAATTGTCATTTAACTAACTATTTTTAAAGATATTTTAACTAAGCCTGTTTCAAATATGAATATGCTCTTAAATCTCTTATCAATATAATATTATTTGTAAACATTTATTTTGGTTTTAATACAGTTCTTAATAATATATATATATATATATATATATATGTTTCTTCTTCTTATTTTTGCTATTATTTCTCGGGCTTTTATAACAATAATAATAATATTTATTATTAATACATCATTAAAACATATATATTATTAATTAAGTTTTGCAAGGTTTAACTATATTTTATTTATAGTTTATCTTATGTTTAAAATATTTTTCTGCCTATAAATGGTTATTTTTGAGTTCCAGAAAAGTAGCAATTCTCTATTCCAGATAGTTCCAGGAAACCCTTCACACAGATTTTGCTTTTGCCTACTCAAATCCAAAGAGAATCATGTTCTATTTATTACATCTTATACGATATTAAGGATATTTAAATATCCTGTCCAAAAAGTATAAATTGGCATCCTCAACAATCCCAAACAACTTCATTATACCACTTTTAACCACTAAACATGGACTTGGAAGACACCAAACTGTGAAAATGGAAAAGGTTGCAGCTTTTGCTATAGCTTCATGGCCTCTCCAAGTCCAAGACCTTCGGCTACATACATATTTGTTTTTCACGGGAAAGCACAGCGCAAATTGCAAGAATTGTAAGAACAATTGAAGGCACGCCGAAAGCGGAAGTCAACAAAAGTCGCATTTTCTTTGCTGGCTTTTTATACTCTTTCAGCGAGTAGTGTGCAACACGGATTGTGCAACATATTTCCTTAACACACACACATGAAACTGCCCCAAGTCGAATGCTCTATTTATGTTTAATATTATTTAGCGAAATCTTCGCGCAATTCTCGCTTTGTAAAAGTATTTTGCATTTTTTAAAATGTTGTTTATTCTATTTATATTTTTGCACTAAAAAATCGATTTCGAGTGTTTAATTTAGCAGCCAAACATCAAGTTCGATAGTTCGAATTAGTATTGTATATATTTATTATTAAAAATGGCATCCATAATTGGCGAGTTCGACTGTGGCTCCCATTGATTTTTGAGGACTTTAAATATCATACTTTTCTTCAAGAATCGATTTTTGATTTTTATAACAATTATTGTAATAAATTTAAAATTTTGAATTTTTGAATCACAGAAACCCATTCTCAATACAACAAAGATAAGACGAGTGAACAAATCAATTAAGTTAACTTGTTAATATTATCTTAATATACATATATATTAAGATGTTAAAAAGATAGTACTGTAATTAAAAAAATTTTAATAATGACAAATTTGTAAAAAGTTT